AGGGGCAGTTCTTATCAATAGGTACATAGGTGATAATGAGGGCAGCAAGCACTCCATCACCCACCCCTTCTAAACGTTAAAAGAGTTCCAAGCTCCTTGATGCACTAGGGAAACAATAAAAGGTCAGTCTGCCAAGTGCATGCCCTAAATGTTACACTGATTGCCTGTGGTTTCCATATTTTTGAATAATAACAAGGCCCATCTTAGCCAGGTTCAGTTAATAGACCCAGCCTAAACCCATTGTCTCCACTTTGGAAACTTAGTCAAATGATATGAGGTTGCTAGGCAACAGGACCATAGGTCTGGGTAGAGATTTGAGATGAAGCCCCGCCCTCTCAGCACAGAAGGTATAAATACACCCAGAACAAGGACTGCCATTTTGAGCCTCTTAAGCTCCACCCTCTATATATCAAGAGGTGCTCCTCTTTCCTTTCTCCTTACTTTACCCTGTTTTGCTCAATAAATCCTTGCTAAGCTTCCACTTGTGAGTTCCCTTTATTGTGAAACCCTCAAAATGCTTTCCATCATGGATTTCAAGTTCCTGTGATTGCCGTCCACTGGTGGCTCACACCTGTAATCCTCTACTTAGGAGGTTGAGATTGGGAGGATCTCAAAGACAGCTCTGGCCAGTTATTGTTTCCACCTTTTAGCTCTGCAGTGCAGAAGAAGGTTTTGTGAGCCTCATGTTTTTATTTCTCTTGGGCATATACCTGGGAAGGAGCTGCTGGTCCTTTGGTAACTAGTTGCTTAAATGTGTGAGGAATGGCCAGGCTGTTTTCCAATTGGCCATGCCATCTTCATGGCCTGATTTCTGGCCATGGACTGCATCATAGTGCTGAGGCCACAGGGTCACTGGCAGGACTCTGAAATGTTATTACTAGGTATGGCTGGCCTCTCTAGGATCATGGGACCCATGTGCTCCTGGCAGCCCCTCTTTTTTCCTGACCTCCTTCCCTGCTTCCCACTGCCCCACAGACCAGCAGGACACCCTTAATGTTCACACACAGTCAATTCTATATCCAATTGCCACCCACACTGGGGCCGTACTCCTGCCAGCTCCCATCCAGGCTGCCTACTTATTTGGGCCCAGGCTTTCTTCATCTGCCTCTTCCACTTCCTGCATTTGCTGCCTTGTCCCATTTGAACAGCTGCTCCTGACCCCCATCCCTGTCCAGTGCTGTGCTCCTGTCTGCGTTTGCCTCCATATAGCATTCTTTTCCTCCTGAAATCCCGCCTGACCCAAACTTTGGCCTCTTCCCCTGAATCTCCTCTCTTTGCTCACAGGCCATGTCCACTTGGCTTCTCCTGCTCAATACTCAGGCCTGTCTGACTTGGCAATTCAGTAGCATCTGACAGTGGCTCCCTCCCTTGCTTACAGACACCTCTTTCTCCTGTTCCAAGACACCTGGCAACCTCCCACTCTGTTGTATTTCAGGAACACTTGTGCAATCCCAGCACCATTCTGAACACAATATAATTATTAGCCAGTTACCCTATGAAGTTGTTGCTGTTACTGTTCCTACTTTACAAAGTAGGGAAGGCAGAGGACACCAAGAGAGGGTAAGTCACACAGCCAGGACTGAAACCTGTATGTCTCTCCAGAGTCTGTACTGAACCTCATCTCTGGTCATAGCTGGACTGGATTTAGTCCCTGGATTCTACTCTGCTCCATGCACCTTGTCCAGGCCCCAGCTCTAATCTCAACCCAAGTGCCAGTCATGCCCCTCATCTCCATCTCCTCCAGGCACTGTCCTGCTACCCCATCATCTCATCAAGATCCCATGGACGCCCTACACTTACCATGCCAAGACTCCCATCCACATCTGCCTCCTGCTCCTGCTCCTTGGGGCCTCCCACCAGTTAGGGAAGCTCTGTCCATCATGCCTCCTTCCATCTCTCTCAAACACCACTGCTCCAATCATCTGCAAATCCTATGGGACTGTGAAACTCTCCTCTGGCTGGCACTGACCTTAATTGGAGCCACCCCATGCTGGACAGGAGGCTTCCCAGCTCCTTCCCCATCCTGGCTTCTCCCCTGGCTTTCTGAAAGTCTCTTCCCAGAACCAGCACACGGTTCAGAACATTCCAACCCTTGCAAAACCCTTCCGTGCAGGCCTCCAGGCAATGACACACCAGGTGCCATACAGTCCCCAGGCTTTTGTGTGTGTGTGTGTGTGTGTGTGTGCACCAGGGCTTGAACTCAAGGCCTTCACCTTGAGCCACTCCACCAGCCCTTTTTTGTGATGGGTATTTTTGAATAGCTTCAAACTGTGATCCTCCTGATCTCTGTCTCCTAAGTAGCTAGGATTACTGGTGCCCAGTGAGGCTTTTACAACTGATACATTCTGCTCCAATACTGCTGCTGTTCTCCCTCTCTCCTCTTTGGGGTCCTGCTGGAATCTGTGCTTCAAGAGTCCCTGGCTCCATCTGATGCTGAGGCCTTCCCTTCCCATGCCCAGAACCTGCTTCTCTCTCTTTCACAGGCTGTGCCCATTTGGCTGTCCCCTGCTGTATCCTCAGGCTTTGTGCAACTTGGCAGCTTGGTGGCTACTAGTGGTGCTCCCTCCCTTGCATTGTCACCCTCTGACATACTTTCTCATTTATTCATTGTGTGCACTGTTTTTTCTTTTTCTTTCTTTCTTTTTTTTTTTTTTTTGCAGTACTAGGGCTTGAACTCAGGGCCTACACCTTGAGCCACTCTACCAGCCCTTTTTTGTGAAGGGTTTTTTCAAGATAGTGGCTCAAACTATTTGCCTGGGCTGGCTTCCACCCACCATCCTCCTGATCTCTGCCTCCTGTAATCCTGAGTAGGATTACAGGCATAAGCCACTGGTGCCTGGTTGCAATTTTTTTTTTTTTTAATATCTGTGCTTGAATTCAGGGACTCATAATTGCTAGGCAGGTGCTCTACCACTTGAGCTATGTTCTCAGCCCTTTTTGCTTCAGGTTATTTTTTCAGACAGAGTCTTGCTTTTTGCCCTGGGTCAGCAATCCTTCTGCCTATGCATCCTATGTAGCTAAGAAGACAGGTGTGTGCCATGGGCCCAGCCCACTGTGAGCACTATTCTTTCTCTCTCCTAGAACACAAAGGGTGCTTGGCTCATTTTGTTCCCTGTTTCTGTGCTTCTGTGGAAAGGCAGAATTAATTGGATGATGTGTCTCTGAACAGGAAGAGACTGATGGCCTAGAGGTGGCAGGCCTGGCTGTGTGGGTGGCAGCCCTTGTTAGAGAAAGGGACTTGGTTTGTAAAGACCATGAATGAAATGAGGGAGAGGCTGGATTACCTCTGGGCCTTCCTGGATTTCTAAGCAGTCCCTCCCAATCCTTGCTATGGAGAGCAATTCCTCTAAGTCCAGGGTTGGATGCCCCAGCTGGCTTCTAACTGCGATCTTCCTGATCTCTGATTCCCTGGTAGTTAGATTACAGGCATGAGCCCTGGGTGCCTGGCTATTTTGCTTTTGAGACAGTCCCCTATGCAGCCAGGTTGGTCTTGAACTCTCCATCCACCTGCCTCAGCCTCCTGAGTGCTGGCATTACAGATGCACACTACACTGAGCTTGGACGTAAAGTTTGATTAGCAGACCAACTATTATTTCACTTCTTCCTCCCATTGCTTTTACACCTCAGACCACTCTGCATCTTTATTTCATACACACCCCTAACTCCATCTTTGGGAAGGTGGATTTGAGACTTGGTACTCCTGCCTGGTGTCTGGTCACCTTATGAATAAACCATCTTTTGCAAAACTCCTGGTTTTTGTGATTGACGTTCTGTTCAGGGGTCCATGATGGGGGTGGGGGAATCCCCAGGGTGGGCTTGAGGTTCAGGACAGAAGAGAGGCAGTAGTACTTTATAAGCACATATGCCAGGCTCTTCCCAAGAAGCTCATTTACTCACTAAAATAGAGTAATTATTTATTTATTTGGTGTGGTACTGTGGTCTGAACTCAGTCACTTCACCAGGCCTTTTTAGTAAAGGGTTTTTTTGAAATAGGGTCTCACAAACTATTTGCCCCACTGGCCTTTGAACCGTTATCCTCCTGATCCTTCCTGAGTAGCTAGGATTATAGATGTGAGCCATTAGCGCCCAGCTCACTTTTTGTTTTTTGGTTTGTTTGGGGCAGGGACTTTCTAAGAGCCCAAGCTGGTCTGGAACTCGAGAACCTCCTGTCTCTGGATTACAGAGAGCACCACCACGCCCAGCCACTTTTTTTTTTTGGCGGCACTGGGGTTTGAATTCACAGCCTCAGGCTTATTAGGCAGGCACTCATATCACTTGAGTAACTCAGCCCTGTTTTTTGGTGGATTTTTTTCGAGATAGGAAAAATAGAACTATTCGCCCGGGGCTGGCTTCGAAACGCAATCCTCCTGATCTCTGCCTCCTGAGTGGCTAGGATTACAGGCGTGAGTTACCGGCACCACGCTACTTTTATTATTGTCACAAAACAAAACAAAAAAAGGAAGCAGGCTCAGGACATGAACCTGGACGTCGTGAGGGACCAATGGACAAAATCCCGTAGGGTCCGATGCACAGTGGCTCCCCTACCGTCCCTAGAAGCCAGCCACCTTTGACCTCTCCTGGCCTCAATTTCTCCACAGGCTGTTCCTGGGATTCTAAACTTCCGGGTGGAGGAGCCGGAGGGGGGGTGGGGGGTGGGGAGGGGGGATGGTGTGTGTGTGGGGGTTAGGCAGTAGTTGAGCGGAAACTACCACTTCCGAGAGACCTTGCGGCTAAAGCCAGCGAGATCTGGCGAGGCGAGGTCTCGCGTAGCCAACTGCAGCGCTCCGAAAGCTGGGGCTGCCTTGGGCATTGCCGGTTTTGGATGTCGCTGCATTCAGGCGTTCGCCGAGGACAGCTTTGCGCAGGGCCGCAGAAAGTGGGACAATCTGGCGTTCGGCGCAGACTCAGCGTGCACGGGTGCTGATCGGCGAATGAGTGGTGGGCACCTGCGGTGGCGCCATGGACGACGAGGAGGAGACATACCGACTCTGGAAGATCCGCAAGACCATCATGCAGGCGAGCAGCGCGTGCCGCCCCTGTCGAGCGAACGCGATCTGGGGCGCGTACTGCGGGGTTCTCGTACGCCCGGCCGGGGCCTGACCGAGAGGCCCGCGGGTTAAGCCGAGGCTCCGGAGATCCCCTATATGGGCGGGAGGCCAGGTCCGCGCGTTTTTCTTTCATCTCTTTCCTCCCCGCCGCTCCCTCCGAGCTGCTGCACGACTCCTGCCCTGCCCTCGTTCCCAACCGCTTCCTCTACGAATTTTTCCTGCTCCTTCTGTTGGGCCAGCGTCCGCTCTTCGTCTCTAGAGGCACAACTTGAGGGTTGGGGGGCGGGGCGTGGACATGGTTGCGTCCAGAAAAGAAAGAACGATCGACAAGGAGCAGGCTCAACCTCAGAGAGCTCCTCTGGCGCCTTGCGCATTTCGTTGTTACTTATTTTACTTTTTCAGATGTGGAAACTTGAACCCAGAGCCTGGCGCATGCTAGGCAAGGGCTTTGCACCTGTTATTTCTCCCCGAACCTGGCGGGTGGCGGTCTGGTATCATCTCCTGAGGCTGGGGGTGATGAAGTGTAGGAAGCAAGTTAAGCTGAGAGTTTAAATGGTGTTCCCGGTTCTGTGCCAGGTGGCACTGTTAGGAAGATTGGGCTGGGCGTTGCTTGGCTGGCTGGAAGGACTCTGATTTGGAAACCAGGAGAAAGCTTTAGAGTTTTAAGTCTGCCTCAGAAACCAGGACGCTTTGGCTGGGTTATATAGTCCAGTGGGAGCACTTGCGGAGGCCCGGGTTCCATCCCTAGTATGATGAATTAGTGAAAACAAAAACCAGTACTTTTTTTCCTCAGGGCCTACATCTTGACACACTCCATCAATCTTTTTTTTTTTGTGAAGGGTTTTTTTTTGAGATAGGGTCTCGTGGACTATTTGCCCAGGCTGGCTTTGAGCCGCAGTCCTCATCTGCCTCCTGAGTTACTAGGATTACAGGCGTGAACCACCAGCGCACTACACCAGTGCTCTTTGAGTGGGACAGAAAGGGACTCAGTAGAGAAGGAGGTGGAGGTCAGAGCCTTTTTATTTATTTACTTATTTATTTATTTGTGTACTTACTGTGGTGCTGGGGATGTAACCCAGGGCCTTATACATGCTGGGCAAGTATTCACTACTGAGCTACACTACCAGGCTGCCTTTTTTCTTTTTCTTTTTTTTTTTTTTTGGCAGTACTGCGGTTTGAACTCAGGGCCTCATGCTTGCTATGCAGGCACTCTACCACTAGAGCCACACCTCCAACATTGGGTTGGCCATTTTTTGAGCTAGTTCCTTGCTTTTTGTCTGTACTTGCCTTGAGCCACAATTCTCTCAATCTCTGAAGTAGCTTGGATTACAAGATTGAACCCCATACTCAGTCAGTCTTTTCTTAGACCTGTCCCTCGGCCCCTTTCTGGGGTTAGGCCTGGACCACTTGATTCTCCTCCTTAGGGGCCTGAGCACTGTCAGCATGAAGTCACAGCCATTTCTGGTCTCTTTGCATAGTGGTGCAGATGACTGGCTGCAACTGCTCAGGTTTAGCCCCAGCTGACTCCTTCAATCCTGGGTGATTTTGGGGCAAGGCTGAGGCCTCTGTGTACTTCTGGATCTACCCTGGGCTCACCCCATGGGGGGCAGTGGTGACAAGATAGTGGCTTTTTATTTATTTACAGGGCAGTGGCTCAGTGACATGGCCATAGTTTATCCCCAGGTAGTTCGCCACTGCCATGTTCAGGAGCAGGTTTCTCCGCTGTGGTTGTGGGTTCTTGTTTTGCCGAGCGCCTTCCCTGCTCCAGGATCAGCTGGCTTTCTCTTTGCAGCTGTGCCATGACCGAGGCTACCTGGTGACCCAGGATGAGCTGGACCAAACATTGGAAGAGTTCAAAGCCCAGTTTGGGGACAAGCCAAGTGAAGGGCGGCCGAGGCGCACTGACCTCACCGTACTGGTGGCCCACAATGACGACCCCACTGACCAGATGTTTGTCTTTTTCCCAGGTGAGGGACCTTTGTGATCCTGGTCTGTGGCAGTATGTCTCTGAGGTGGGGTCATAGTTCTGATGGAGTCTTCCGGGCCCCTGCTCAGGGGCCAGTTGACCGTACCCTTAACGGTTTCCCTTCCCTTGGTGCTGGTCTTACTTTCTGAACCAGGTTCTCCAATCATGAATATCACACAGTCCTGTGAGGCTCAGCCCCCTACTGCTCTGAGATCTACCTGTGTCCTCCCTCTCTGTCCGGCCTGTGAGTACAGGCCACACATCTCTGCCTAGCAGACCTCTTGGACCCCGTGTCTTCCTCCAGAGCTACGGCGGGCTCCTAGGCAGGTGCTCCACCACTTGAGCCACACCCTGAGCTGTGGCAGGTTCCTGTATGCCCTGGCTCACCCGCCATCCTTACCTCTGTCTGCCCGGTCAGAGTCTGCTCTTCATCCCTTGACACCCATCTTGGGTGCATCTTTTCTGAAAGCCCCATCAAGGGCTCTTCGGGACCCCAGGCTCCTGTCTTGGTGCCTGCTCCAAGGAAGCTTTCCTCTTAAATGTCTGCCCTCCCACTGCTCTAAAGCCCTGTAAGACAAGTGCTGATGAGTGCTGACCATACCGTATGGGCTCAGCCTAGCATGCTTAATCAAGGGAGTAGGTAGAAGAACATGCTGAATACAGCAAGTGTCACTTTTTGTTTTTTGGTGGTAGTGAGGGTGGAACTCGAGGCCTCATGCTTGCTAGGCAGGTCCTTACCTCTTGAACCACCCTGTCAGCCCTTTTTTGTGTTGGGTATTTTCGAGATAGTGCTTCTTGAACTGTTTGCCCGGGCTGACTTTGAACTTGATCCTCCTGATTTCTGCCTCCTGAATAACAAGGACTTTAGACGTGAGCCACTGGTGCTTGACCAGGTGCCACTTTTCAAGATGCCCCTTGTGTCTATAGTGTGTTTACTGGAGAGTCTAGTGCCCAAACACTAGATTGCCTCCCCATGGAACCCTGTCATGGCCTCTCCAGAGTCACAAGTGTCAACTATGTTCCCTAGGGAGACGGTAGGGCTTCACTGCTCTCTGGGCGCCCTGTAGGGCAGGGTTGAGGTTCCTGTTTGTGCTGGACTGCTGGGGCTGCCCACCATCACAGATACCAGGCAGGTCATTCAAAGAACAGCTTTATTTCCTGCAGTCCTGGAGTCCAGAATCCAAAATCGAAGTGTCCAAAGCCTGGTTCCTATTTTTTTTTTTTTTGTGGTATTAGGGTTTGAACTCAGGGCTTACACTTTGAACCACTCCACCAGCCCTCACCAGCCCTTCTTTTTTAGTGGTTTTTTTTTTTTTGAGATACGGGCTTGTGAACCAGTCTGCTCAGACTGGTTTCAAACTGCAATCCTCCTGATCTCTTCTTTCTGAGTAGCTAGGATACAGGTGTGAGCTACCAGTATTCGATGAGGGCTGGTTCCTTCCTTCTGAGTCTCCTCCTTGTCTTGTAAGTGGCATCTTCTCCCAGTATCTGCAGGGGACTTTTCCTGTGTATGTCTGATCTTTTCTTACAGGATGTCAGTCTTACGTATTAGGGCTCAGCCTGATCTCACTGTACCTTAAATCACCTTTCGTCTCTAAATACAGTCACATGCTGAGATCCTGGGATATAGGGTTTCAACATATGAATTGGGGGGGCCCACTGTGGGTAAGGTGGTGTGATTGACCAGATCCACCTGTGGTGTACAGGCAGCCCTATCAAGCCTGCCTCCACTGGCACTCCTGCTGGAGGATAACAACCTGGGAAGTGTAGAAATGGCAAGTCACCCAGCTGCCATTTCTTGGGTTCCCAGGCTAAACAAACCATAACTTAGGTGACTCTCAACCTTAGAATCATTTGGGATCCCTGGCCCCAAGCTCCAGGAAGGGGTCCTCCAGATCCAATTGGGATTTGGCTCCTTTCGGCATCCTGCTGGAGCTGAGGCAGCCACTCCCGTCTTGGGATCCTGCCACTTGGGTCTTCCCTTGCAAGTTGGAAAACTGAGGCCCCATAGAAGGCAATGGCTGGTCTGAAGCCATGCTAGATCCCTACCTAGGACCCCAGGGGATGTGTGGGCCATGGTGCTTGGCAGAGTGTCAGCGCACATCTGTCCCCAGAGGAGCCCAAAGTGGGGATCAAGACAATCAAGGTATACTGTCAGCGCATGCAGGAGGAGAACATCACACGGGCCCTCATCGTGGTTCAGCAGGGCATGACGCCCTCCGCCAAGCAGGTAGGGACCCCTGCCACCTGGGTAGTGGACCCATGAGGTCCCATGGTCTTTACTAGGAGCCACTCCTGTTGTGCCTCTGCTTGTGAGCCTCACTTCCTCTTCCACTGTCCTGCCTTCTGGCTCATTGGAGGGAAGCTGAAGTGGCAGGCACCATACTCCACAGTCCTTGGGTCTTGGCCCTGAGTCCTGATGGTGTGGTATTGGGGACCCAGAAGCTGTTTGTCCTGTGGACCTCTAAGTTGTTCTGGCTTTATGGGGAGAGGGGCTGAGACCTGGATCCCCAGAGTAGCTGTGATGTGTCTCTCATTGGGATTGAACTGAGCCCAGGTAGACTTATAGGAGTAAAGGGTGGTGAGCACTTCTGTCCCTGGTCAACCTGGGCTGTAGGATTCACATGGTCATGGGTTGGCACCTCTTTAATGGGGAAGGGTCTCTATGTCAGTTCTGAAGACAATCCACCAGAGAGCAGTCCAAGTGGTAGAAGGTGGTGAGGCCCAGAGGCAGGCTGGAGTTCAAAAAGGATCCCCTCAGCACCCGCAGCCTGGCTGAGCTTGCTAGCCTTGTATCTTGCAGTCTCTGGTGGACATGGCACCCAAGTACATCTTGGAGCAGTTCCTGCAACAGGAGCTGCTCATCAACATCACTGAACATGAGGTGGGTGGGGCTCCCAGGGGGTGGGGGTATTGGTGTGAACAGAGCAGGTTCCCCTGGTGAAATCCTGGTCTGCGGCTATCACTTCACCAAGGAGCGTGGTAGGATCAGATGAGGGGGAGGACCTATGCTCCCTAAGCCTCATGCTGCCAGTGGAACACAGAACCCCTTATATGGCAGCTGTTTGCCAGCCACTCATTACCATGTGGGGCCTGGAACAGGGCAGGGTGGAGTTCACCCAAGGGTGGTGCTATCATCCCAAGCACAGGAGTTTATGGTCTTGCCCAGCCCACCCTGGGGTGCCAGTGCAGTCTATGGCAGCCCCTGGTGACAACTTAGCACCTTTCTCTTTCTGCAGCTGGTCCCAGAGCACGTGGTCATGACCAAGGAGGAGGTGACAGAGCTGCTGGCCCGATAGTATCCTTCCAGGTCCCTCTGTGACTTGCTCTTCCCCCTCCCTCTGGGCTCCTTGAATCCCCATTCCCCTCTGACTGCCAAGCCTGGCTATATTCTCTTGACTACTTTCCCAGTAAACTCCGAGAGAACCAACTGCCCAGGATCCAGGCCGGAGACCCCGTGGCACGCTACTTTGGGATAAAACGGGGGCAGGTGAGGCCACTGCTGCCACTTTGAGCCTGCCTAGTGGAGGCAAGAGCTTTGTACCTGACTGTTCCTCTGGGCCTCAAGGCCTGGAAGGACCCTTGGGACCTGGCCCCCTCCCAAAAAAAGTGAGGGCCACTGAGGCCCAGAGAAAAGTGTAGTCCCAGGTTGCTCAGGGAGCTGGCATCCCAGGCTACCTGCCCGACTGGGCCCTCCCTGCTGCCCATGTCCTGCCTGTGTGACCATGGTGAGGCCCTGTCAGCCCTAGCTCCTGCTCTTGTGCTTCTGCAGGTGGTGAAGATCATTCGGCCCAGTGAGACAGCAGGCAGGTACATCACCTACCGCCTGGTGCAATAGTGGCGTCCAGCAGGTGAGACGGCAGCTGTCCTCTCCATGCTGTCATTCAGACAGGTTTCAGTTCTGTCCCCACCAGGAATGGAAGGTCTCCTGATACCTAGGGTGTCACAGCCTCCTCTGGTGTCTATTCACACGAAAAGTAGCTGTCACCCACACAGCTGGGGAGTGACCAGAAACCTGCTCCTGAGCCCCCAGGAGCAGAGCGGTTTCAGGTCCAAGTGGACATGAAGCCAGGAAGTTAGCATCCATACCCATGAGTCCTCTCCCCTTTCCCCCTCTCTCCTGCTTCCCATCCACACCCCAACCTGCTACACCAAGGCTGTCCCTTGGGGCTCTGCCTTGGTGGCCTGGTGATTGTTGGGTTCCTGCCTCTGAGGTCAGGGTGACTGTGTACAGCTGTGTGTGACCTGGGCACAAGTGAATCCTGGGATGCATCCTGGTCCCGCCTGGGTCTGCATGGCTCAAGTGTCACCCTGGTTTCTCTTTCCCAGACTCTACAGGACAGATGGATGTGACCACTGTTTCCTCCAGGACAGATGCCCTCCTGCTCCTGTCCATCTCGTTGCTGCTTTTCTGTACTCCCCAGGATGGCCACCATTTCCCTTTACCTGTTCTGGGGTAAGGGAGCCCATGTCCTTGCTTGGCTGGTGCTTCAGGAGGAACGGAGAGGTCAGCTAGGGACAGCCAGTGTCAAATGGCTGCCCTGAGTCCTTGCACAGCTTGGTGGGGCCAATATATACGCCTCCCTGCTCTTGGTGGTCCTGATGTCTGACCCACTTCCTGGGTAGGCTGCCTTGGTGGGTCAGTGCAAATCAGTGCTGGCGGCACCTGGACTGGCTCGCCTATCTTCCCTCTGGTCTGTCCCCTTGATCTCTGAAGTTGGCAGGGTTCAAGGTTACAACCCACTTGGAGTTCTCAGTTGTTACGGAGTACTGCATGTTTTAAAAATTGAAGATATTTTTTGTAAATAAACTTGCTTCAAAAACCAAGAATGAACACTCAAGCTTTTGGTGGGTATCCTTGCTCTAACCCCAAAAGGTCAGTAGGGAGAGAACCTAGTTGTTCTCTTGTGTTTGTGGGGACCTTATTTTTCTGGTAAATGCTGCTTGTCATCTGCAGTCAGTACTGGGTTTGAACTAAGGGCCTTGTGCTTGCCAGGCAGGCACTCTATTACTTGAACCATGCCTTGAAAGCTTTTTGCTTTAGATATTTTTCAGATATGGTCTCATGCTTGCCCTATGTATGTTTCCTGATGTAGCTGGGACAGGAGGCATGCACCACCACTCAGCACTTTTTTTTTTTTTGGTGGTACTGGGGTTTGAACTCAGGGCCTCATGCTTGCTAGGCAGGCACTCTACCACTTGAGCCATTCCGCCAGCCCCCAGGTACTCTATACTTTTTAAGCCACTCCACCAGCCCCACTCCCAGTTCCGTGATGGAGATGGGGTCTCCTGAACTTTTTGTCCAGGCTGGCCCCTAACTGATCTCTACCTCCCAAGAAGCTGGGATTACAGGCATGAGCCACTGCTTTTTGGCCTGTCAGTAGTTTTGAGTACAATCACAAGGTATACAACCACCATGTCTATCAAGTTCCAGAACATTCCATCACCCTAAAATGAAGTCCCAACCCACTAAGCAGTCACTATATCCCATCCCCAGCTCCTGGCACCCACAAATCCATATTGTGTCTCTAGATTCTCCTGTTCTGAATATTTCCCCATTGAAAGATCACACACTGGCCTTTTGTGTCTGGTTCTCACTGAGCAGTGTCCTCAAGATCCCCCTGTGCTGTAGCATGTGTCCTGTACATGGCTGAATGATGCACTGGTGTCATCCATGCTGTGTGTCAACTCATCTGTCTGTGAACACTGAGCTGTGTTACTTTCTGACTGCTGTGAGTCCTGCTGCCGTGAACTTTTTGTTTTGTTTTGTGTGGTTTTGGGAATGGAACCTCACATTGGAAGTGGAACCTCCCACTGAGCTACACCACCAACTGTGCACATGTTTATGTGGAGACGTGTTCACTTCTCTGGGTACATGGGAAGGATTGCTGGGCCTGGGTGACTTGTGAGCAATGCCCAGCCTTGCACAGCAGCTGTACTGTTTTACAGGCTGCCAGCCCAGTATGGAGGTTCCCATTTTTCATTTTTGCCAGCACCTGTTCTTATACATCCTTTGAATATGGCTCTTGATATGAAGTGTCCAGTGGCTTGGATTTGCTTTTACTACATGGCTCTGGTGAATATCTTGTGCTCATTTTTAGCTCATCTTTGGAGAGATTCCTGTCTGGATTCTTTACCCATTGTTTAATTGGATTACTAAGCTTTCTGTTTTTAGTTTTTTCCTCAGTTTGTAGCCGAGTACTGGGATGACAGACATACGCCACACACCAGGCTTGACTAGTCTTAAATTATTGCTCTTCGTGAATGGGTCCTAGGATGGACAGTCCCTGTGAGGATCCCTTTGATGAGACTGGCCCTGGGGTAGCCACTACCCAAACAGTGCAAATGGAATTGACACAAGCAGAAGGCTTCTATAAGAGGTGTCTCCTTTTAGGGGATGGGTGAGCAACTGTGAAGGGGCTCCCTAGCCATCTCATCCTGTGATCTTGGGCCAGTCTTACTTGAGATCTACCCTGTGAAGTCACACAAAAGAAGTTGGATGTAAACCTGGTGCTTTTTTCCTTGTCTTACGAAGAACATTCATAGTCAGGCACCTGTGACTCGTGCCTGTAATCCTAGCTACTCAGGAGGCAGAGATCAGGAGGATCATAGTTTGAAGCCAGCCCTGGGCAAATAGTTTGTGAGACCCTATTGTAAAAAGCCCATCACAAAAAAGGGTTGGCGAAGTGGCTCAAGTGAGACCCTGAGTTCAAACCCCAGTGCTGCCAAAAAAGAAAAAAGGATTCAGAGGGATGAGGTGTGGCTCAGTGGCAGAGCACCTGCCTGGCATGCTGGAGGCCCCCGGCTCGTCCCCAGCACTGCACACACAGATAGCATTCAGAACAGTGCTGTGCAGAGGCCTGGCTGGACTATAGAGGACTTTTTCATACATCTACTCCACAAATAATGGTGCTACCTAAGGGGCTCTCCAGCCAACTACTATGAATACTTACTTCCCTTTATTTTTGTGACCTTTTAAAAATGTAGACAGAACTGAGGTTATGGCTCAGTGGCTCATGCTTAGCATGCACAAAGTCCTTGGTTCACCAGCAACACAAAACAAATTGTTCATGGGTTCTTTTGACAAAGAACCAGATACCTAAGTATTTCCAGCTTGATGTGCCAGAAAGCCTACCACATTTCCTCCACTCTACCCTGTGGCAGAAATACAACCACCAGAAACCTATAGACAGGGCTGCCTGAAGTGGGCTCACCATGGTTCCTTGTTCCCTTCCAAGGCATCTCCTGGGCCCATGGTATGTGAGGCTGCTTACCTGGCCCTGTGGTTCACTGGTTTCTGGTGGCTGTGCAGCAGGAAGGTCCCTTTCCCAACTTGCTATTATCAGCAGCCATGATTCCACTAGGTTCCTTTGTCTGGCATGACCAGCTGGCTGTTTTCTGCCCAGGATCTTGCTGGTTTGTGTGGCCAGTGACCCCCAGGGTACCCTTGGGTGAGGACTGGGCACTGCACCTTCCTGAGACTGGTGCCCCTCAGTGAGTGCCTGCTTAGCATGGGCAAGGACCTGGGCTCCATCCCTCAAATAAATGACTGTAAAATGCAGTGCAGAGTTCTGCAGGCAGAAGCTACATCTTTAGCACTTGGCAGCCTTGTGGGCCTGGTGTAGGAACACTTTGGTGTTCCATGATGGAGGACATGGGCTGTCAACATGTGGACAATTCCACTGGACAGCTGGACAATTCCACAGGAAATTATAACCACCTCAAAAAAAAGCAAAAGAAAATAGGCTATAAGGTGGCTCAAGAGGTAATGTGCCTGCCTAGCAAGTGAAAGGCACAGTTCAAACCCCAGTACCACCAAAAAAACAAAACTAGACCAGATTAGAAACTTTTTTTTTTAAAGCAAAACAGATGTGCGTGTCAAATAACTACATTATTACCTGTGAGAGACTTCACCCTATACCTAGGACACAGGTGTCCACATTGCCCTTGTGGACCCCCAGCCTGGGCAGTGGCATCCAAACTTGGCCCCCACCCTAACTCTGTCACACACCCAGCACAGCCGTCCACCCTGGGTGCTGCAACCCCTCCCAGACTATGGAATAGAGGCCAGGGTGGGGCCAGTGTCTGGGATTATGGTGGTGGGGGGGAATAGGGGGATGGGAGAGGGGTAAGGGGTGAGCTTATGGGGACAAGTTGTCCTGCCCACACAGGCCTGTGTGTGCCAACAAGCAAGCAGAAATTTGACTCAAAAGCAAAGACCAGCTCAGGTAAGATGGCCTGCTGGGGTGAGGAGGAGGCACAGGAGGATCTCATGGCCCAATGCCCTCCACAATCTTAGTGGCTTCTGGGAGGAGGCAGCCAGTGTTGCCCACAGCAGGGCTGTCCAAATCCAAAGCCCTGGCAGTGATCCAAGTTGGCAAGGCTGAGTCGTACCTCAAGGACAGTCCAGAGGCGAAGGGCCCAGCAAGAGAGCAGCCCACAGTGGTCCCCGCTGCTGCCCATGTCAGACAAACTGCGGCAGCCTCTCTTGGCAGGTGCCTGCTGAGATCCGCCTCCCTTGGAGCCTCATCGTGGGCAGCCGGGCTGGCGCTGCGTTATTGGACTGGTTGGTATTGTAGGAAGAGAGCCGCCGGGCCAGGCCTGCCTTGTCCTCATCCACCAGCTGTTCCTCACTGCCACTGTGGCTTTGCGGACCCCCTTTCAGGCCGGCCTCACCCTCCTGCTTGTCCAGGAAACTGAGGCGGTGCAGGGTGCTGGTGTCTGATGATGACAGTGGGTCTGAGGCTTCCTCCAGCTCTGAGTCAGAGTCATTGGATGCAACTCGGGATTCTGGGAATGCCAGGCAGAGAGTGGGAGACAAAGGAGGAGAGAGAGATGTCCTGGGACCAGAAAGCCACCCAGGACACTGATGAGGTCCCCACCAGCCCTATTCCCTTCTTGGACACTAGGCTCCAGCGGGTGAAGCACACAGCCTGGCCTGAGCCTTGGCACCCACAGACTCACACACATGGGCATCGCCTGTTCACTGTGCAGGTGACAACCTCTGAGGGGTGCTGCATTGCTTGTATTTCTAACACATTAGAGGCTGGAGTTGTGGCTCAAGTAGCAGAGTACCTGCTTTGCAAATGTGAAACTCTGAGTTCAGACCCCAGTCCCACCAAAAGAAAAAAAAATTGGTTTATAATAAACTCTTTTTTTTTGGCGGTACTGGGGTTTGAACTCAGGGCCTCATCCTTCCTAGGCAGGCTCTCTACCACTTGAGCCACTCCACCAGCCCTATAATAAACTCTTAAGAGACTATTATAAATGCAAATAATAAATAAAGGAAAATTAGTAAACAACAGGCACACATGATGTCCACAGCAGACAAAACCCACAGGTTGTGCTACCTGGGTACTGTGATGCAGCCCCACTGTGTCACCAGGGTCTACAGGCTCAGTGTCCTGGGTCCCTCAGGGCCATGTACTCACCTTGACCCCCATCCTCCACTTCCTCCTGCAGGGCGTAGTCTGTCCCCTCACCCGACTCCAGGTAGGGTATGGGCACCACCACCTCTGCCTGCTGGTTGCACGGCCCATCCTGCCACATGGGGAAGGGAGTCAGGGAGGGCCCGGCCCAGCCCTGCCCAAGTTTCTTCCTAGTATATGCAGGCAGGGCTGGTGCTCGTCAGGAGCCATTGCCTGTTCCCTAACCCACTGGGGACTACTAAGCACTCCTTCATCAGGCAAACGTTCCAACCAGACAGACAAAGCCCAGAATGGTACCAGCACCAGAGCCACAAGCTGCAAACTTTAGGGTCCCCAGGTCTTGGGGTCCTGCCTAGGCTGGTGGTAGGAGGAAACCCAGGGACACAACAGATGCCTGGAAATGAAGAATGTGAAAAGAAAGGCAAGAAATTAAAACTGGGCTGGGTGCTGGTGGCTCACACCTGCAATCCTAGCTACTCAGAAGGCAGAGATCAGGAAGATCACAGTTCGAAAACAGCCCAGGCAAATGGTTTGTGAGACCCTGTATTGAAAAAACCATACCAAAAAGGGCTGGTGTGGTAGCTCAAAGTGTAGACCGAGTTTGCCTATACCACAAAAAAAAAAAAAAATCCAACACAAAAAAGGGCTGGCAGAGTGAGTGAAGTGGTAGAGCACCTGTCTAGCAAGCATGAGGCCCTGAGTTCAAACCCAAGTACTGCCAAATAAATAAAAAGTGAAAAGTAAAAATTAAAATGCCCAGGCATTGGTCATTCATGCCTGTAATTCTAGCTACTCAGGAGGGAGAGATCAGGAGGATCATGGTTTAAAGCCAGCCTTGGGCAAACAGTTTGCAAAACCATATCTCAAAAAAACTCATCACAAAGGGTGGGGATGGGGGAGGGGAGAGAGAGAGAAATGGCCCAAATAATGTATGCACATGTGAATAAACGAATTAAAAAGAAAAAAAAAACTCATCACAAAAAAAGGGTTGAGGGAGTGGCTCAAGCAGTAAGAAAGCCTGCCTAGCAAGCCTGAGGCCATTAGTTCAAACCCCTGTGCCACCAAAAACCAAATCAAAACAAAACAAAAATGAATAGCGGTTTAAGGATGCATGGGCAAACACTGCTGTGGGGGGGTGGAGGGAGGGGGATGGGTGGCAGTTGGGGGAGTGGAGGTAGGGAGTGGGGGAAGCAGCTGAGAATAAGAGAGGTCTGATGTGAGCTCCAAAGAAATGCAGGGTCCACAGGGCCTTTGCCCATCCTGGGGGGTCATTCAGTTCTTTGCTTAAGACAGCTCAGGGGCCTTCCCCACCCTGTCTAAACCAAGTATCTCCCAGTGTTCTTTGTGTCTACATTCTGTGAGCTGGAAGGATTGTCCCTTTTCATAGTGGACAGCTGGGTTGGACTCATTCTGCTCACCTGGCCCCCAGGTGCCTCCTCAGGTTCCTCCTCAAAGACTAAGTCATAGTGGACAATGAGGGTCTCAATGACCCGAGCCTGGTGAGGGTAGTCCACCAGGGAGGAGAGGGAGACAGTAGCTTCCGTGGGCCTTGGCCGCAACAGCGTGGGCCCGAACACGATGCCCAGGTTCCCTGGGGTCATTTTGTTGTCCTGTTCCACTTCCACAATCCTGCAGGGCCAGGAGGGTACAGGGTGTGCATGAGTGGCTCTAGGGGACCCTTACCACCCTAAACTCCTGCCCAGGGAACCTCACCTGCACAGGTGCCGCAGCAGACACTGCAGTGTGGCAAAGTTCTCCACTGGCAGGTCCCGTAGTAGCTCACGCAGACGGCCCACCATAACTGCAGCTGCAGCCTCATTCTCAGACCCATCCTGCCAGCCCCGGGACGCCGCCTTGGCCTCAGCCTCAGCCTTCAGGCTGTCTTTGGCCAGACCCATGAGTTCATGGTAGAAGCGGAAAGAGATGAGTGGCTCAGGCAGCTACAGGGTGACACACCCGGACTGGGTCAGCAGGCCACGCCTAGAAGGAGTGAGCTCCTGCCTTGGTCCTACACCTTCAGCTCTAGCCATGCCCACTACCCCAGCTTCAGACTGGCACCTGCCATGGCCCCGCCCAACACTGCACAGGCCCTGCCCCCAGCAGTGTCTGGTCCAGCCCCCAGTCCAGCTTGGACAGCCATGGCTGTGATCACACTAAGGCACACCAACTGCAGCAACTGGCTCCGCCTCAGCCTCAGCCCTGCCAGCTGATGGTCACACCCACCCTGTTAAAGCCACATCCACCCAGCTCTGTAGCTCAGGATGGAGTTTATGCCTGCCCTGGTTTATCCTAAACCCATTCCAGGTGCTAGCTTCAAGCTCAGACTTTGCCCCACCTCCTCATCTCACCTGGCGCAGGTAGAGCTTGAGGACATTGCTGATGTCGTGGGGTGAGGCCTGTGATAGTTCCACCAACTCCTTGCCATTCTCGAAGGCCTGGCACAGCTTCTCCACGCGCGTCTTCACCCCATTTACCCGGTAGATGCCCTGCAGGACTGCAGTCAGCCTTGGCCTATGCCCGCCCAGCACCTCCACTCCTCACCCTCCCAGGATCCCCGCATGCCCTTCCTGTCACAGGGCCTCACCTTGGTTCGCAGAGCACGCCGCTCAATTTCACAGATGCACTTCTTGACAATAAAGGGCACACCATCTGGGGTGCCCCGGGCTGCCTGGCCAAAGTCCTGGCCAAAGAGCTGCAGATGACCCTGCAACTTCTTGTGGCCACACTGGATAGCCAGGGTCTCCAGGCACTTCTTGTGACAGGCCAGACAGCACTGTGGGGCCAGTGGAGAATAAGCCTCTCTAGATACCCAGGACAAACATCTAGCTCCACCAGCAGCCTCCTCCAAAGCCCCTCATAACCCTCATGGTACCTTCTCAGAACACAAGTTCTATTGCTTCCTGGCCTGTTACACCACTCCTGGCTGGAAGGCAATGCTCCAGCCTACCCCTCCAGCTTCCTCTTTCCTGGCCCTTTGGTTTTCTTTCTAGAGCCCCAAGGCCTTTACACTGTCTACACTCTTTGCCCAGGACACCCTGCCTACACCTCCGGACTAACTGTACCTCCAAATCTAAAAGAGCTCCCCAGCTCTCTCTTCACCTGCTCCTAAATGTCCCCTTCCCAAGAGTACGAAGGTCCCATGTACCTCCTCACACTCAGCCCCCTGGAAGTAAACATAGCTGTTACACTCTCGGCACTTGGCAGGAGTGCGCAGCTTCCGCAGGCGGTGCGTGCGAGCCGCCTTGGACAGTCCCACATGGCGGAAGGGCCCACTAGGCACAGCCATCGGCAGCTCAGGGGTCATGCCATTGAGGTCAGCTGTGGACAGGACAAGCAACTGGTATCATCAAGACAGAAAGGGGCCAGGCCCATAGACCATGTCCAAACCTCCTCCTGCCCTCAGATCAGGGACCCTCACCCTGTTCAAAGGCAGATGCCCCTACACCACCCTCCTGGTCTACCAGCTCCTCGTTGGAAGACATGGTACCACTGGATGATGTCCGCTCAAACTTCTTAAAATCTGCTGGGCAGGAAAACAGGCTGTCATACTTGCCTGGCCAGGCCTGGGAGAACAATTGGGAACTCCTTGACCCGCCCCCCCCCCCCCCCCCCGCCAGAACGGGCAAAACCAACTGAGGCCCTGGAAGGGCAGCAGCTACCCACCCCAGCCGCCCAACAACCCATTCACCTGAGCCAGGGCTGGGATCCAGGCTGCTGTTAGATTCTGAGATGGTGGTTGGCCATGACTTGTGCACCTGGTGTCCTCGTCCACCTGGGGAAGGAGAACGAAGCATCTCCAGTGAAGGGTGGAGGGGGTGGCAAGGAACCAGCACCACCAGGGCTCCTGCCCACACTCACTCCTGTGTTCCTTAGTGGGTGCCCCCTCACTGGGCCCAACTTCCGCTGGGGGGCTGCTGGCAGTCTCTGTCCCTGCTGTGTCACTAACATTGAAGCTGCTTTTCCGGGTACGCAGGACTGGGGACCTGGTGGGGAACAGACAGGAAGGAGGGGTCATGGCAGGCTGGCTTGCTTCCCTGCACCCATCCTTGCGGGTGGGAGGCCTGGGTCTCTGGGGTGCAGATGCTGTGGTACCAGGCATTGGTTGAGATGTGTGGCTCAAAATCATAGTGCACATCAGGCTCCTCGCCACGCTGCAGCTGGCGCACGTAGGACGCATACTGCTGGCCCGGGTCATAGAGCTTGCTGCTCTCACAGAGCATCTGGAAGTGGACGGGCAGTGGTGCCGTCTGCATATGCATGAGCTGGTAGTAGGAGATGGTGGCCTGTGGGTGGCAGCAGCAGCGAGAGGGCACGGTCAGCACGCTGGATGGACCGACCCCAGCCTCATACCCTACACACACCACGCACCGACTTGATGGTCTGGTCACTTTGTCGGATCACCTCCTGGATCTGCCGCAGTGCAGTCACTTTGGTGTCCTCCAGCTCCTGCTTCTGTGTCTTTGCATCTGCCACGCATGTGCGGTAGGTGGCCATGGCTTCCTCTGCCTGCAGTGGGGAGCAGGGCACATGGAGGCTCAGCCTTAAGGTTGGCCAGGTCTGATACAGAAACCCCAGGATGGGGCTGGGCAGGGAGGGCATTCCTGGAAAGACACATGGCCCTGATGAAGGTCTGGAGATGGAAAATCCCACACAGTGAGTAGGGAGACACTGCCCCTGCATCTCATCCAGGACCCTCTGCAGCCCCTTCCCACCTGTCCTCACCTTGTTCTTGGCTTCCTCCTCTAGCCGCCGCCGTTTGTCCAGGGTCTTAGAGGCTGCACCGCCTGTCCCTGGACCAGTGCCCACCTGCTCCTCCTCAGCCTTAGCCACCAAGAAGCGGGCCTTGTCATGGTCCTCACAGCGCTGAACATAGCCCTGCTTGGCTTTGCGCAGATTAGATTCTGCCTCTTGCTACAAGCAAGGGAGCAAAAACACCAACTTCATCCTCCATTGCCCCAGCTCCTCCCTCCCTCCCTCCTCACCCTCATTCCCCACAAGTAGAGGTCCCTGCCCAATGACAGGAGGAGAATAGGAGGGGACAGCTGAAGCAGGACCCTGAGAGGAATAGGTCCCCATTTTATAGCCAGGAAAACCGAGGCACAAGTCAGCTCTGAACAGAAGCACAAACTCCTCATTCAACTCCCACAGACCAGGCTGGTGTCTTATACCTCTGTGGGTTTCACTTCCCTTCTTACAGATGAAAACAAAGGGGCCACCCAGGCAGGAAGCCAGGCACCTCTGGGGAGGCAGGAAGCACTGAGTCCAAAACTAACAGGCCTTATTTTTGGGGGGAGGGGAAGAAGTGAAGGGGCAAGAGAAGCACGTCACAGCCAAAACATCAGAACAGAACCAAGGGCTGGGGTATGGCTCAGTGGTAAATCATGTGCTTAGCCTGGGTTCAATCTCAAAAATAAAGCATTTGGGAGGCTGAAGCAGATTTTGAGGCTGGCCTGGGCTACACAGGGAGACCCTGCCTGCCTCCAATCAATCAATCAATCAATCAATAATGAAGAAGACTGTGAACAATCATGAGGTTTCCATGTGGTAAAACAGGTATCAGATAAAATCAAAATCAAATGGATAAAAGATCAAATGATAGAGTTGGGAAGGGGAAAACTAACAGCATCAAGGTCTGCTAACCGTAACATGGGAGGAGCTCTGAGAAATCAATTACAAATAAGAACCCCCAATCCAGACTAAGCAGAGCATGTGAACCGAGAGTTCATAGAAGCTGAGAAGCACCATGATGGTGTGGGAGGGGAGCTGTGTCTGCCCCTGAATCAACCCTTTCATTTTGGGGCACTGATCTAAGATAAACTTTCACAAAAGTGTCCACCCATACAGGGCTAGTACCAAAAGCCACAGCTGAGCACTGTGCAGCAGAAAAAGGGACAAAGATGCTTCTCTTATTGGTTTGTGCACCAATAAAAGGCAAAAACTCAAAAAACCAGAAAGGACCAGGCACCGGTGGCTCACACCTGTTAATCCTAGCTACTTACTCAGGAGACAGAGATGAGGAGGATCGAAGTTTGAAGCCAGCCTGGGCAAATAGTTTGTGAGACCCTATCTCAAAAAACCCTATCACAAAAAAACTGGGCTAGTGGAGTGGCTCAAGGTGAAGATCTTGAGTTTAAATCTCAGTACTGCAAAAAAGAATTCTAGCTGGATGTGGTGATGCATGCCTATAATCCCAGAACTTCAGAATAGGAAAAGAGGATGGTAAGTTTGACATCAGCCTGTCAAACTACATAGTGAGACCTATCTAAAAAATAAAAATAAAAACTAGCAGCAAAATAGAACACTGCATATACTGTGATGAGGGCTGGTTTCTGCGGGCACACGCTGTAAGGATTCAGACCTCCTAATATCGCTTAAATGCAAAAATACAATGCCTTTGAAGAAACACAAAAGAGAAATAGAAAAAACCCACAGGAACTTGGAGTCTGCAACCAGACCCAAGAGACGGGGCATCCCTCCAACCTTGGGACCTAGGAGACACAGTTTGTCAGCATCTCATAACCATAGGATGCCAGTGCATGCTGTCCTCCCTCCCCTTGATCTTTGGGTCAAGTCCCGGGCTCTCAGGAGCCCAGTGAGGGTGTACAGGGAGCGCAGCTGCCCCCTCTGCCCACATTGTCCCTACCAGCTTCCGCTGTGCACGGTGCCATGACTCCTTGATCTCCTTCCTACGCCTCTCATGCTCCAGCCGCCGCAGGGTCAGGGGCTGAGGGGAGACAGACCCGTGAGTGAGGACCCCGCAACATCCCTGCCCAGCCCACCGTCCCAGGTGCAGCCCACCTGCATGAAGGTCTGCGTCTGCAGAGTGCTGGCTGCCTGCACCATTCCATGGCCGAATTCCAGGTCCTGCTCCAGGGCCAGCGAGTAGATGGACAAGAGGGGCATGTGGGGCTGTGGGGGTGGGGTGGCCAGTCACTGGGGTTAGGGGTGGTGATGGGTCAGCCATCTCTCTCCACTCCTGCAGCCACCTTATTGCCCCAGGTTAGGTAGAGAGGGGAAGTCCCGGGCTCCTCCCAGTCACCCAGGACTTAGGGCTGCCTGTCAAGGGACTGTCGGGTCCCACCTCATGAGTGACGCTCTGTCTGCAATTGTGCACGACCTTCTGTAGGCCTTTGGCAAACTCCATCTCTGCAGGAATGAAGTGTGGGGTGAGGTGCAAGGCCCTCCTGACCCCTCCCCCTCCCCCAGGGCCCACCTCATCCTGGCTCTTACCCAGCGTGGTCCGCTTCTCTAGGTAGCCGATGAGGTCTTTCATGTACTTGGCCATATTCTTGGCGTACTGCAGCGCGGCATCCACGCCACCCTCACAGCGCTGTAGCAGCATGTCTACCTCCTCCGCGGGCAGGCAGCCTGCAGAGCACTAGCTCAGCCCCACCCTACCACCCAGCCCCTCGTCCGTGTACCAGCCCTTGCCACTTGGGGACACTCACCCTCATCACAGTCCTCGGGGCTAGGTGTGGGGCCCTCACCCCCCTGTCCATACAGGTTCTCCATGGACTGCATAGGAGGGAGGCGGGTGAGACATGGGCCTTGAGCTTGGCCCCAGGAGATGCCTGCCTTGCAGGAGGTGACCACCTCCCCCACACACACCCAGAGATGCCCTTCAGACCTTGCCTGGACACAGTCTGCCCTGCCCTGCTTCTACTCACCTGGCTGGGGTCCCCAGGGGGCACGGCCAGGAGGGTGCTGCTGTCCACTTCACCCATAAGGAACTCGGACACCCTGCAGGGCCCAGGGGTCAGCATCCAGGTCAGGTGGGCACCTCCATCCCTCTCCCTGTCCCACAGGCTCCCGCACTTACGTGCTGCTGAAGGACACAGCCATGGTCTCCAGGGCCTTCTCAAACTCCCTCTTGTCCAACTCATTGTTACACTCATAATGGAAGACTGGGAGGCAGAGACAAGGACACTTGTCTGACCACTCTGAGAGGTGACCGACCATCCCTGTAGCTAACCATTGGAAGCCCTTAGCTCAGGGGGAGTATCATGAGGCAGCTGTGTTTGTCAAACTCTTATGCATCCTTCAAAACCCACTTCAGGAAGCCCTCCTAGATACAGAGCCCTTGCTGCTCCATTCCAGTTGGCTGACCTTTGATCTTGGCAATAAGGGTGCCAGCAGCTGTCAGTGTCTCCAACGTGTTCAGCAGTGGGTACTTGGAGATGATCTGACGCATCACACGCAGGGCCTCACCCAGGCATTCATGGGCCAGTGGCCGGCGGGCATCAAGGAGGTCTGCTGGGCACAGTGAGTGTGAACAGAAAAGGAATGTCTGCCTAGTTCCTCAGAGCTCCTGACTCCAGATGGGGAAACTGAGGCAGAGGTAGGAGAAAGCAGCCATGAGATCAAGAATGGGCCACTGTCCTTCTGTGGGCTATTGGCCACGTGAGCAAAGGTTAAACCTTGGCTTAGTCCCTTCTGCTCAGAGCACTTTCCTGTCCTTCCAGAAATCAAACTCCCACTTGTCCTTCAAGCCACAGTCTTGGGGTCTCCTCCTCTATGCAGCTCCCTGCCCCCCCATCCTTGCCCTACTCCTCAGCCTGCTCAAGGGTTTATCCAGCTTCTCCCAACAACCCTCATCCCTCCTGCCTGCCTGGGCACTGGGCCCAACAACCCCATTCCTTCACACTCTCCTGGCAGTTACCCCAGGAGACAGGCACTATCATCACCCCCATTTTACAGAGGAGGAAAGTGAGGCAGAACGAGGGAAGAACACTTCTTAATGATCACAGTTTTTTCATCTGCACTAGCTCTGAAGGCGTAAGAATGCCAACCAGAAAGACCCTGCCTGGCTTTATCTGGGCAGTAGGGAGCCATAGGCAGTACTGGAGCAGAGAGGTCATGATCAGCCCTGTTAGAACGGGACTTTAAAAAGCCCTTTTCAAATGTTCTAAATAGAAGGCTGAGATCAGGAGGATCAATGTTCCAAGCCAGCCCAGGCAAATCGTTTGGGAGACCCTATCTCCAAAAAACCTATCACAAAAGAGAGCTGATGGAGTTGTTCAAGTGGTAAGAGTGCCTCCCTAGCAAGTGTGAGGCCTTGAGTTCAAACCCCAGTACCACACACACACATACAAAATCCCTATGTGAAACCTGAAAAAAGTGCACGTCTCTCTACAGCATTGACCTGCTGAATGTCACCCCAGGGATTCCCACCGGCTGACCCTTTGGACCTCACACAGGGAAGGCCAATCCCCTTCCTGGGTCATTCCATCCACGCACCCCGCCCCTCGGGCCGCAGCCGCCCCCCCCCACACACCTGGGAAGCCCAAGTCCACAAGGACGTTTGCTCAGTGCGGAGGTGCCAGGTTGGCACAGCCAAGGCCAGAGCGCAGCCGCCGCTGACTCCGAGGCCCGCTGCAAATGACCCAAGAGCCATGTGCTCCCGGCCGGCCAGGCTGGGAGACCCCGCGCCCCTCGCTGTCCCCTCACCTCGAGGCCCCGTCGCCCAGCAGCGTCCGGGGCCGACGTCTAGCGCTGGGTGCACAGTCCCGCAGATACACATGGCGCGGCTGGCGCAGCGCGGGGAGGGACCGCAACGGCGGAACTGGACGACTGACTGGTGGGGGGGGTCTCTGGTGGCTGGCTAGCGGCCAAACCGGCTCCGGCCGGTCCACAGGCCCCGCCCCACCAAGGGAAAGCCCGCCCCCGCATCCCGACAAGTGCCACGACTCGCAGCTCAGGAGTTTGGGACCAGAGGTTGCACGCTTTGAAGTGGGGCGGGTTCAAGACGCGAGGGGAAAATGAGGCCCAAGGAGCGAGGAGGCCCGGTAAGGGACAAGGCCACATGGGTCGCAGTGTCTGCCCCCAACTGCGGTGTAGGCCCCACAACAATCCCAATATGCTTTGGTCACCTGGGGACCTGTGCCCCATTTTGTAGACCCTGCACCTGAGGCTTCAGCAGGACAGGGCAGCCCTTTTGCGTGCCAGGTCCTTCCCCAGACACACAGAGGGCGCCTCCGCCCCAAGCTTGGCCGGCTGACCTCCAGTAGGACCCCACGGCTGTGTCCCGTCCGAGGAAGGCAGCATGGGAGATTAGAGTTTCCCCAGGAAACCCGCTCGAGCCTCCACCCTGGACCAGATAACCCGGTGTCCCACCCTCCTGGCAGGGCCTGCGCCCTTAGTGCCCTAGGTCAGTTCTGCCCCCACCTCAGTCTCCTCATCTGTGGAACGGCTGGCTGCGGGGGAGCACGTGAGGGCGCCTGGTGGGGCCCCGACACTGTGGTTTCTGGGAGCAGTCAGTGGGGGCTGAAGATGGTGCACGAGGTACTTGCATGCCCCAGCTCGGGGTGCCCACCCCCCCAGGTCTGCCAGGGACAAACAGGAAGCAGATGAAAATAACCCGGCAGGAAGCTGGGCTGTCAGCAGCCACATGGAGGAGAAAACGGAACTGCTATCCCCGCAGCCCAGCCCATTCAGTCCCAGCGCCTCCTGCAGCACCTCCTGGGCCAAGCCACCCAGACTTCAGCCCACCTGCAGTCCATGTGGTTCTAGAATGCAGATCAGACCCAATTCATTCTCTGTCTTAATGCCTTCTATGGCATCCCACTGCCCTTAATATCCTGGATCCTTCAGCCTGATATTCTCATGCCTTCAACCTCACACACCATACACCATAGTACCCGACACCTTCTTCATCTTCATTTCTACGTTTCTGCACCTGTGCACCAGACATTTCCTCCACTACAATACCTTTCCTTCCTACTTGTCACAAAACTCCTATATATCCCTCAGAACCTTAAATGTCATGGCCTAGCTCATGCAATTTTCCCTGCAATCCCATTCCAAGTTTCTTCAAGTATCCCTTCCTCCCCTGCTCTACTTTCTTGACAACATCTGTATCCTGCTCTCCTTTCCACCCAGGTCTGTCTGTGTGTCCCTGCTGGCTCTCACCGTCACGTAATACACACTCCTTGAGTTTTTCCAGGCCCTCAGCAAAGCGGGCTACATCAGCCAGCAGGTTTGAGATGTCCTCTACAGCATCAGGGGAAGGCCCCTCAGTGGGCAGCTCAACAGGGCTGGCAACTGTCAGAGGACTTCGGTAACCACGGCCAAGTGTCCATGAGGCACTGCCTGAGAGAGGGAAACCAGCGGCACTGGCATGACGGCTAAGGCTAGTAGGTCGCTTGAGCGTGCCAGTGGCTTTGGCATTGGAGGATGAAGCTGGTGGCTCCAGGCCCGGTCCAGAGAACACAGCATCAGCTCCATCTTTCCTGGACAGCTCCTGGTAAAGCAAGGCGAAGGATAAAAGTGATGCTCTATCCCGGACCCTGCATTGCCTCAGTTTCTCCAAAAATGAAGTGACTTCACAGGGATCAGAGACCAGAGGGCTGAGATTTGGGACCACACCCCCCCCCACCTGTTACCCAACATCCTCTTCCTTAGAGCTTTCACAAACAACCGTCCCTGCCCAAACCACAGCCAGGGGCGGGACCGGCAAGGGCGGGGGGAGGGGCGCCCCACTTCCTGGTGGGGGGTGGGGAGGGCTAGAGAGGGTCTACTGCCTCCAGTTCCCTTGGTTCCTGCAGAAGTGGTCCTTCCAAAAAAGACACCTCTGACAATATCTGTGCCCTAGGGATCTTGTAGACCCCTTGTTCCATGGATACTCCCAGGCGTTGTAGACAGACACCTTCAAACGTTACAGGCTCTGGAGACCCTCTAGAGTCCTATATCCTCTGTATTTCATTGGCTGTAAACCTTGAACCTGACCCTGTTCCAGGGCCCATCTTCTCAGTAGTTCAGGAAACCCCCACATTGCCGGGGGTCCCCATCCTGCAGAGCCCGAAACCCACTCTTACTCCACCCTGTCACCTTCCCTACTCACTGCCCAGGCCCCATAGGTGGCCTTTGAAGGGAGAAAGGGACAGAGTGACCACCGTAAGGCCCCTACCGTGAGCTGAACGCCCATGTCCCAGCCTCTTGTCGGTGACCCCTGTTGTCCAACCCGCTGGGGGCTGTAGCTGGTGCGGAACCCCCGCCGCCGGCTCAGCATGGTGCTGAGGGCGCTGCCGCTGGGCCCTGACACGGGGCCCCTGGCCCTGCACGGTGTGTCCTAGGTCCTGCCCGCTCGCGCCCAACTCACCCCCGAGGACTGCGGGCTGGGGCTTCCCGCCCGGTTCTTTTTGGAGATAGAAGGGGTTTTCATGAGTTCGCGTTTCTTCCTGGAGAACATAGTGGGCCGCCTCGGGGGGCGAGCAGGGATCGGTGCAGCTCCGGGCGCTGGCCGCCTCAGGACCACATTGCTGCGGGCCACCCCCTCCCCAGCTGTCAGGCCCACGTGACAGGCCCGGTCCTCATTGGCGGGTGTCCTCTGCACAGGAAAAGGCCTCCGCAGGCAGCCCTGCAGACCTGCCTCCTACTCTTCGGGGCCTCAGCCTGCCGCTCTGCATAGTGGGCGCTAACGGTCTTCCCAGCCCTCGCTCCGCCCCGCCCCGCCCCGCCCGCGGCTTCCGCTTTCGGGAGCTGCGCGCCCTTGCCGCGGTGACGTGCGCCTCATTACCACGGGAACCCTCAGTGGGCACCAGCGATGATAGCAGGGACGCTGACCCTCACTCGGATACACCCACCCAGACGCGACTAGGAATGTAGACTCGCGTGCAGTGACACACGGGGACAGTCAGCGGTGGGTACACAGAAGACTGAGTACATGCATGAGCCGGTCAGCCCCGACGGTAAGCTCAGACACTACGGACTGTCGCAGATGAAGCGGAGGACTGAAGGAGGTCACTCTGGTCACCTGCCTGGAAGCCCTGTTTCACAGGGTGACCAGTGAGTGCTAGGCAGCGGGATGCACAAACAGAAAACTGCCAGGCATCCTGATCTCTTCCCCAAACCCTGCCTCCCTGGCTGAGGTTGCTCCTCAGTCTTGTGACCCACCCATAATTCATCAGCCACAACTCCTTTGCCCTCCTTCTCCCCACTCCACTGACCTCCAGTGGCAGGGGTGGCTCTCTGGGGCACAAGCCAGGAAGACCACAACCCCCTGTGCCAAGTCCAGCTCTCCAGGCTCTGGTCCAACCGCAAAACCAATCTAGTAGCCCCTTCAAGACTTTGTGCCCCCCACTCATTGTTCTGCTGGTTGGGATCAGAGTAAGGACTGGCAGGCTGGCAGGTCAACTTTTAGCCTCCTCTAAACTGCCTGGAACATTCCCCAGCCCTGACCTCATCCCCACTTCATGGTCAGGTGCACTCAAAGGTACTGCCCATAGATGCCAGACCCAGGTGGGTACCAGTGACCAAGCTTCTTAGGAAGCTCACACTGTTTGTCCCTTTGCATCATAGTGAGAAGTACCAGTGACCAAGCTTCTTAGGAAGCTCACATTGTTTGTCCCTTTGCATCATAGTGAGAAGTCCAGATAGCTGTAGGGGTGTTCACACCTCATCTCTTTGGCCCCAAACGCACACTCTGCATGCAAGGGGCCCTATGTAGACGTGTGTTGTGCAAATGCCACCTGCCACATGGACACACAGTTTTGTCAGTCTTTATTTTCTTCAGGGCAATGAGAGCTCAAAGGCTTTGAAGCCTGGGTCTACCTTGCCTTTCCTACTCAAGGCCTCCTACCAGTCCCCAGGATAGGGAGGCTCAGAGCATGGTCTCCAGTGTGCTGGGGTCCTCTAGGAACCGGCTGATGTGTTTGCGGCGCTGTGGGCCTGATGCTGTGGGTTCCACTCCTGCCTCCTGCTGGTGGTCCTCATCATTCTTTCCCTGGTCGTTGGAGAAGTACAGGAATACCTGGCAAGTGGGTGGCCCAGAGGGTTCAGGAAAGGATCTATGAGGGGCTATGAGCTCAGGGGCGTTGTCCCAGCCTCTCCTCCAGTCCCATGTCGGTCCCAGGTCACCTCTTCCAGCGTGGTCTGACTCACGGAGAAGTCCTCTATGCCGTGATCTGAGCCGTGTGCCGCCAATTCTCCAAATACGCACGCCAGGGCGCAGCGCCCTCCTGGCGGGAGCTGGAAGCGCAGGCGGCCTCCGTGCACCTCCCGCAGCTCAGCCCCTGGGAACGCCGCCACCACGAAGTCTACCGTGCGCTCGGGTTGGTCGGCTGGTACCCTCAGGGTCAGCGTGTGGCCAGCCCCGAATCTGGAGTAGGTGGGACCAGGGTTACTGGACACGTTACTGGACACGCTCGCATCGATTTCCTGCTCTACTCTAGCATTGCTCCATATACCCCGCGCCCCACTTGACTCTCATACCCTCACACGATCCGCGTCCGCGGGCCATGCTTGTCGTCCTACCCTATGATCAATTTCTATCTAGCCTCCCCCCACACGTTAACTCATAAGTTACCTCTCCGTACACTGCAGCCCCACCTACTCACCAGACCCTGGCCACCAACACCCCTCTCACCTCTTCCAGACTACAGCCCTCTTTTTTTTTTTTTTTTGCAAAGCAGGTTCTCTACCTCTTGAGCCATACCTCCAGTTCTTTTTTTTTTTTTTTTGGTACGGGACTCAGGGCCTACACCAGATCGGGTCTTGCGAACTATTTGCCCGGGCTGGCTTCGAACCACGATCCTCCTGATTGTTCTCTGCCTCCTGAATAGCTAGGATTATGGGCGTGAGACACCCGCGCCTCTTCTAACCCTGTCTATTCCTGGCTGCCCAATTACGCTCTCTTACGACCCCGCCCACATGCGCCCTAACCCCGCCCACCCACTCTACCAGGACTCCCCACATGCCCTATCCATTCAACAACTCTTCTCCAACCGCGGCCGTGGGTCCCACCCTCTTCTGGCTCCACCCGTGCAGCTTGATTAGCCCTTCTTAAACCTACCCACAGCCTCAGGCTCACCAATCAGATACGTCTCCCTCTTGGTCCCGCCTTCAGCAACTCCCCCTCCCCCCCCCCCCACACACCCCACCCCCGCTCCTCCTCTCGACTATCCACAATCCTGGCCAACCTCTACAGTTAGAGCCAAATTCGCCTCATCTGGCCCCAGGTCTGGTCTCTCCCGTAGCCCCGCCCACATCTCCATCCTCCTCCTGCCTTGTGCTGTATCCCCACACTTTTATCTTTATTTTTTTTTTTTTTTTGGCGGTACTGAATGAGGCCCACATTTGTCTTTGGGCCTCTCTGCTCACCTGCCCTTGAGATGCTGCGCGCTGCCCAGGCATTGGAACCGCCCATTCACCATGATGGCCAGGCGTGTGCAGAGTGCTTCGCATTCCTCCATGCTGTGGGAGCCCAGCTTCATGAGCTTGGCGAGGCTGAGACTGCCTGTGCCTGTCGCCACGCCATCACCACCCATACCCTCTCCCTCCAGGCCGGGACTGCCCTTCTGCTCTGTTCATGCTGGGCCCCAACTGCTCTTTTCCCGGAGCGGGTACCACCACCTTGTGTCTTCACCGTAGGGCTCCGCACCCTCAGTGAGGGGGTGAAGTCAAGACCTCCTCCTCCCTATGGATCTGTGCTCTGGATAGCCTCCCTGTGGAACCTGCTCTAATATTTTCCCCAGAGCGTGGGACCACCTTGACCCTCAGGCCTGAGCATCCCGCTCTGGCCTACCTGTGCGAAGTGAGCACCACGGAGCGGCCCTCCCGCACCACAGCCAGGAGGCTGTTCCAGAGGAAGCGACGCGCGCTGGGGTCCATTCCTGTTGTGGGCTCGTCCTGGGAAAGGAAATCTAAATCGAGTCCTGCCAGTGTCCCAGGCCCCGCCCTACCAAGACCCTTGCCCCTCCAAGTACCAGAAAGACCACCGCCGGATCCCCAACCAGCGCAATAGCTGTCGCCAGCTTCCGTTTGTTGCCTCCACTGTAGGTGCCTGCAGATCTGTCCGCATACCGTGGGAGCCCCAGGCGGGCCAGGCCAGAGCTGGCTATCTACGGGGCGGGGCCGGAATGAACATGGACAGGACCAGAAGGCTGGGCAAGGCTAGAGTGAGTTTGGGACTGGACCATAGTGAGCTTGGGGCAGGATCAGAGTAAGAGTGGTCGGGGCGATGAGGGCTGGAGCCACAGTGAACAAGGAGCAGAAAGACAGGCGGGACCAGAGGGCGTGGGCGGAGTCAGAGTGGACATGGAGCGGGGACAGGGCGAGAACAGTGAGGAGGAGAGTGTAAAGTAAATTAAAGGGGTGGGGATACAACCTGGGGGTGGCCAGAAAGAGCAAGAAGGGGACCTTGGGCAAAAGGGACGAAGTCCTAAACCGGGGCCACAGCTAGGAGGACTCAAGAAGGGAGGCTTAAGGGACAGCGGAGACGCGCGGGAAGAGACCAATATGTTTGGTTTTTGTTTTTGTTTTTGTCTTTTGGAAGAGACCAATATGAATGTATCAGCTTGGTGAGGCGGGGCAAAGAGAAGCGAGGCCTCTGATTGGAGAAGGATGGGGAAGCGATCTTGGTAATAAAACAGGACTTGAGGGGGCGGAGCCAAGGTCGAGAACGCACGGATTGGACCGCAGTCTGGGGATGTGGCCAATGAAAGCTCAGGGCGGTGGCTGGTCAGGCACTGGGATCAACTGCGGAGCCCGGGGGTCCAGAGTACACTCACCTGTGCAACGTGGACCTCGGGGACGCCGCGCAGGCGCGCGAAGAACTCCAAGTGCTCTCGACCAGTCAGCAGCTCGAAGATGGCGTCTGACTGAGGACAGTAACCCATGCGGCGGTGCGCGGCGGCCGGTTCCTGGGCCACACTGGGGGATGAGGGACAGGAGGCGCAAAGAACTGGTTAGTTGCGGGTCATACTGGAGGCAAGCACAGGGCTCTCAGGATTCACCCATCAGAATCTCTCCGGAAACAGATGGGTATTTCAGGGCCTGGTGCACATGCAAGGTTTGGGGGACTTAGAGGTCTCAGTGAATGGCGAATCCCAGGCTACACTTGGAAAGACCATGTTCAGAAACCATGTTCGTGAGGGGTAGTGAGGCTCGACGTTCACTGGAGGGTGAGGATAGGGAAGAATAAGTGCTTCAGGGTCCACTTTGCTCCCTTGCACATGGAGCGGAGCTCCCTCACCTGTGGCCTGCCAGCACTGCCTCGCCCCCGCTGGGCAGCGTGTCCCCCGTCACCATGCGAAATGTGGATGTTTTGCCTGCTCCATTCACTCCCAGCAGCCCAAAGCACTGTAGGGACGTACACAAATAGTGCTCAAGGCGACTCCAGATCTTTGTTTCTGCGCCTCTCATTTCATTCTCAGTTGGGTATAGTTCTTTTTCTTCTTTTTTCTTTTCTTTTTGTGGTTCTGGGGGTTGAACTCAGGGCCTGGAGTTTGCTAGGCAGGCACCCCACCACTTGAGCTATACCTCCAGCCACGACTGGCGTTTGAACTCAGGGCTTCAAGCTTGCAAAGCAGGAACTCTACCACTTGAGCCACACATCCAGTCCATTTTGCTCTGGTTATTTTTGGAGATGGGGGGGTGGAGTCTTGCGAACTGTTTGCAGGGGCTGGCCTCAAACCTCAATCCTTCCAGTCTCAGCCTCCCAAGTAACTAGGACTACAGTTGTGAGCCACTGGTGCCCTGCCTGGTTTCTGATTTCTGCATGGAGGGCTGTGGGCAAGGGGGAGCTCTGGAATGAGTTATTTGGAGTATGTGGAGAGGCATAAAGTGAGTAAGTTTTGGCACACAGAGTGTGTTTAATAAATTCTGGCACACAGGACTGGGGATGTGACTCAAGTGGTAGAGTGTCTGCCTAGCAAACACAAGGCCCCAAGTTCAAACCCCAGTACTGCCCCCCAAATGGGTCATACATAAGAGCTCAACAAATACTGGGCATGAGATTTCCAAATGTTCTTGGGCATATAGTGAGTACCTAATGAAAAATGCCCTCTGGGGAGTACTCAGGCTGGGTGCAGTCAGGTAAGGTGGAGGGGTTGGCCAGCACATAGTAGTTGCTTGGTAAAAGAGGTATTGCAGGACAAGGCTCATGGCTTAAGTGGCAGAGCACTTGCATAGGGCCCTGAGTTCAATATTACAATTTATATGAACACATAACATGTTCACAGATATGTACTGTCCCCCAGTAGGTAGACAGAAAATGGCACACAGCAAATAAGCTTGCACAAAGGTGCAAGTGTGGATTATTACAAAGCAGGTACCTAGTAAGTTTTGGTTGTGAACAAGTGCTTGATTCAGATGTGTATAGAATAGGGGCTTGATAAATGCCACTGGCGCTTAATAAATGCTAATCAACACAAAAGTGGTATTCAACAGTTGGGTGCTCAATAAATGCGAGGATGCAGTAGGTGCTTAATAAGGATTTGTTGGCTCAAAATACAAGCTTGGGGCTGGGCATGTCACTCAGTGGTAGAGTGTATGCCTAGCATGCACTGGGTTCTATCCCACCATCACACGCACGTGCGGGTGCACACACACATACACACACAAATTTAGAACAACAGAAAGTTCTCACCAAAAGGTGGTGGGTACACAGTAGTTGGTCAATAAAGGGTGGTGGGCATGCAGAAGGCACTCGATAAATGGCAGTGAACAGACAACCTCTTCTGTCCTAGCACTGAGTCTTTCACCCTGGGACTCACCTCCCCAGGGGGGATTCCTAAGCACAGGCGATCGACAGCTGGCATCCTCTCTCCACGGTACACCTGGAGGGTTCAGATCCCTGATAAGTGAAAGTGGGCTAGGGATACTCCCTCCCACACTCTGCCAGTCACATGTACCTTGGTCAAGTCCCTGAGTACCAACAAATCTCCTTGGGTGGTCCCTCTGGTCACCCGTTCCCGCTCCACGGCCACGTCCTCATCCTCCTCCCCTAGGGGTGGCAGCAGCTTTGGCTTGGGTCTGAGAACAGAGACATGAGTGGCCCCAAGGTAGGTCACTGGCCCCTACCACCCAACCCTAGTCATCACTGACTGTGGCAGGAAGTGGTTACGGTGCTGGAGCAGAAGTGTGAAGAGGAGGAAGAGGGGCCCTTGTACCACCATGGCCAAGAGGTTCTTGCCGACCACCTCCCATCGCAAGGGTGACTGGAATTTTCTGTCTCCTGTGGGGACAGGAAGGAGGGACTGGGTCTGTGGGTGAGTGGGGGATTTGGTGTCTGGAGCCCTTTCCAGGATTCTTTTTTTCTTTTTCTTTTTTTTTTTACGGCACTGGGGTTTGAACTCAGGGCCTTACACTTGCTAGGCAGGTGCTCTTACTGCTTGAGCCACTCCACCAGCCTGGCACCCTGGATTCTTTAGGGAAAGGACTAAGACCTGGGTAGGCTGCTCATCTGGGGTATAGTTGGCACAGGAAATAGAAGTATCACCACCTCGTTTATTTTGACCTCTTTATAACATGACCCTAAGACAGAATTATCTTTTATAACTGCTCTTTTTGCACTTCTAACCTGACCCAACCTTGGGGCTACCTAAGACCCCTGGTTCTTTCCCCCAGAAGCATTTTGTCACCACCCCATATGATCGACTCTAGGGTGGCACTTCCAAGGGCCAGAGCCCTACCCAACAGGAAGTTCTTACCCAAATGCTCAAAGGCATCAGCCATGGCCTGGTTCCGTACCATGTCAATGAGCCCTCGGCCCAGGCAGAAGTGAGGGAAGATCAGGAAGACCTGCTTCAAGATCTGGCTCACCTCCTGCAGCTTCTGTTCTGGGGCAGGAACAGGTGGGTGGGTCAGGGGCTGAGGCTGGTGCCCCCAACTCAACCCAAACCTCACAGAGTCCCACCTGATCAGAGAAGAGTTCCAGTACAAAGGTGGCCATGCTGCTGTTGATGCCAATGAAGAGGTTGATGCAAGTGAGCATCACATAGGCCGTGCTGGGCACGGAGAAGAAGAAGGAGGCTGGGTACATGAGCGGCGTGATTGACCAGCTGGGGGATTGCAAGGAGGACCCACCATGTGACTATGCACACTGGGTGGTCTCAAGGGAAGTGCAGACCTCCCCTCCCATCCTCTGTGCCTCAGGCCTTTATTCATGGGAAGTGGGACATGATGAGCTTTTAAAGCCACTTTGGCACAGCACTGCATTTGATCGCTCTTGAGGTCTCTGCAGACCTCCAAGTCCTCTTTTCAAGCTCCTGCACAGTCCCATCTCCCTCAAGAGCAGCAGGTGGGGGATAATAAGAGAAGGCTCTGAAGGACTTGGGGCCTCACCCATATAGCAGTAGCAAGAGCAAGAGGGCAGGCAGGTTTGCAGGAGCCACGTATGCCTTTTGCTGGAAGGCCAGGAAGATGAGCACCACAATGCACACTGCCACCAAGTAGTTACACTGTGTTGAAGAAGGAGTCATCTCATCAGCATGAAGAGGAAGGGTCTGCCATCTTCAGCCCTGTGCCCACTTCCACCCTCCACCTTTTTTTTTTTTTAATGCAGGGTATGGAACTCAGGGCCTCGTGCGTGCTAGGCAAGTGCTCTACCAGAGAGCCACATCTCCAGCTCAACCTCCCTGCTTTTTCATGCAGGAGAACATGAAGTCTGCCACCATCCCCAGGACCTTGCCCATGCCGTCTTGCATAAGCCTCTGCCAGACAGCTCCCGCACCATGTCCCAGACAAAGTTGCCAAGCCAGTAGAGGGTTGGGGGCAGGCCCCCAATGAGCTGCAGGTGTTTGGCTCGAGTGACACGCTCCTCGATGAGCACAAGGGTAAAGCTGGCTGGGACGAAGGACATGGCGAAGACCACACAGATGGAGATAAGGACATCCACAGAGGAGGCCATCCTGGGGGTGAGGGAGTGAGGGCTGCTCAGAGTAGAGCTGTGCATGCCCTGGAGGAGACAAAGGTCTGAAGGGCCACTTGTTGGCAGGGAGAGAGTATGGGTCATTTGGGGATGAGGGCAGGTGAGTCATTTGGTCAGGAAGGGCTGTACAGTTCTCTGATAGGATAAAAGTTGGGGAAGCAAGGATGTGCAGGCTGCTGGGGACGTCTGGAGCCTGCTGAGCCTGATGGTGTTCTGTTATCTTGCCCAGGGAACAAAGAGAGTAGTTCCTCTTCCCCATTTACACAGTGAGCGTGTGGGAGAGTTCAGATCCAGCCCCCACAACCCAGAACACTACCACCACAGACACGGGAGGATGGGCCAGCAGACTCACAGTGCAGCCTCAGACAGTTGCTCCTTGGTCAGGTTCAGAGGGGTGGTTAAGTGTGGTGATGCTGTGGGCATGGCGGGCAGGGCCTGGGGGCAGGTGGGCACGTAGGAGTGCATTGTTGGCTCTATTGACAAAGGCCACCATGGCATGCCAGCCCTTGTTGTTGAACCAGATCTGGGTGGAGTGAGGGCCACAGGGTCAGGGCAATAGACCTGGACCTGACTCCAGCTAGCTACCACATGCTGCCCATAGTTCCTACCTTGATGCTATTCTGGGCATCCAGGCCAAGAGCCCACTCTGTGAGGTTGTTCAGAACTCGGTCCAAGGCCCCACCAGGCTGGGGGTTCAACAGTGCCCGCAGTTCCTCCACCATGCGGCCTACCTCATGCTGAGAGGGCAGGTCTGAGTCTCTGCCTCCCAATGAGAAACCCCCGTATCTGTGGGGCAATGGGAGCAGAGATGGGGCGGCTAAGAGCATAAGAAAGAAACAGGTGGGGGACCCCACACCAGGTCCCTCCTTACCTGACCTCATTCACCCACTTCTTAGTCTTCAGGCTGCAGGGAGACCAGCAGAAAGAGGGACAGGGATAGGGGACAGAGAGTGAGATGGGGAAAGATGGAGGTGCCAGGAGAACGAAGGGTGAGAAGCAGGAGGTGAGCATGGAGGTCACTGGGGAACTCCCAGCCCGCAGCCTCTGGCTGAACATCCCTGACGTCAGACTCCCCCCAACCCCAGCCAAGCAAGCAACGCCAGTGGCAGCTTACCCCTTGCGCACAAGGCTTGGGTAGGTTTTGACCAGGAAGTCAGTCAGATTCCGGCCTGTCAGATTCTGTACCACTTCTCCTGAGCTGGCCAAGGCTTGGGGTGGTGGGAGGCCACCAGCTGCAACTGGGCAGTCAGGCAGCAGGCGGCGGGCACCAGGCCTGCTGCACTGGCAGGCTGGGGATGGAGACTCTGGGGTCCAGTTGCCATTGACCAGCACTTCAGCCACATCAGCAGGAATCTCAGGGATAGAGAAGTAGCACGCAAGGCTCTGTGTGCACTCAGGAACCCTGCGGAGTCAGCGCAGACTGTGAGCATGGCCACGTGGGGTCCTGGAGACACAGTGGCTCCTGGCTCCCAGGAGCATGGGGTGCACCCACAACAGAGCCAAGAGGGGAAACTGAGGCCAAAGAGCAAACCAAAGTCAGAAGGGGGCAGGGCCCAGGCAGAGGGCCTCACCTGATGGAAGTGTTCTGCAGGTAGGGTATCTCCAGTCCTGCCTCCTCCAGCAGCGCCTCAAGCAGACGAACCCGTTCGGGGTCGTCTGGTGCGTCCTCGCTGTGGGGAGGGGTACAGAGTTAGAGTTCTGGCCTCAGGGCCCTAGTCCTCCTGCCACCACCTCCCTTCCCCTATACCCACCTGAAGAAGGAGACCTGGGCACCATACATGTCAGGACTGAGCCGCAGAGCCGGGTAGTGGCCAAAAGGAGGCATGATGAGGCTGAACACCAGAGCCAGGCCCACAAACAGGGCGGGCAGCACGATCTGGGGGACCAGACCATCAATTTCTGCCTCCATTCCCCCTCTAGGTTTGCCTGTACCCTTCCCTGCTCCTGCTCCCTGTGCCCTCAATAATTATGCATGGCGTTAAGTTGAGTCCCCCTTACCTGTGCAAACAGGCCTCGGCGGCTGCGGTGAGCCAACAAAAAACGCTTGAGAAGCAAGGCCCGGAGCTGTTGGCAGGTTAGCGCCCAGCCCTGTACCCGGTCTGTAGTGTCCAGCCTGAAGCCCTGTAAGGTCTGGGTCTCCAGGGATGACCCAGCTGTGGGGAGTGTGTGGGGGGTCAGTGTTCATTTTGTAGGAACCTGGGTAGGGGCCTTGGGGCAGGGAGGACTGACCTGGCTCCCCGTTTTCCAAGGCTGAGGCCTCAGGCAGTGTCTGGGGCAGGTAGGCAATACGGGTACTCAGATGATGCCCAGAGTTGACACCTGGAGATTCAACAGGGTGAGAGGCCAGGATTAGTGTTTGACTCTGGGGTCAGAGTCAAGATCAAGGGACCATAAATGGAGAGATCAGGATTCAGGGCTATATACTGGGGACAGACTCAGTGAAGGATTAGGAGTTGGCCTCAGGTCAGGTACAGCTCTGGACCAACGTCAGGAGTGAAAGGTCAGGGAGTCTTGGCCGCACCCTCTGAGTCTGTGTCCACAGCACAGTCTTCCACCACCTTCAAAAAGATCTGGGGAGACAGAGTAGGGGGTTCAGAGCTGGGGGCCCATGGGAGGGACCACTTGCACACTGTGTGTCCATTAGGCCTCCTCAGAGTCTCCTCCCTGGAATTCCCTTGCTGTCAATAAGCAAACTCTTATTCATTCTTCAGAGCCCCTTGTCCAGGCAGCCCTTGCTGATTCCGCACCTCCTCAAGGCTGGTGTCTGAGATCCCATAGCTGGTGAGCCTCAGTGTTCCCAGCTGTCCATCCAGTTCCTGGAAGAGTGCGGCGAAGCTGCCATCCAGGGCACCCTCATAGGGCAGGGCCAGCACTAGCTCGCTGGGCAGCTCCTCTACCAGCCGTGCCCCTGGCACCCAGCGCTGCACCAGGGCCAGGAGCTGGGGTGCACCTGGAAGTACGGGGATATATCAGAGGCCTAGCAGGTCAAGGACCCTCAGTTCCTGCCCTGCTCCTCCCTCCCCACGCTTCTTGGAGGAGGGCTGTTCCTTTGGGCAGAGATCAGGATTAAAAACCTGAGGGTAGGGTCAGAAGTGAGGGGGGCTGGTTAAAGTTGGGGTCACACTTGCCTCAGGGTCAGGGTCACTGTTCCAGCTGCATCCCAGGGTGGGGTCAGGGGTCCTTTGAGTTAAAACACTGTAACCCCCACCCATACTTTCGGGGTCTTTCAGCACAGCCCTCACCTGCCACACTGCTCTGGTTGCCCAGCTCCCTCTCCAAACTGTCCTTTGAGTCAGTGTTACCCTGCAGATAGAGGGGCAATGACTGGCATGGTCATCAGGCAGGACAGAGTTTGGGAGCCAGGGATCAGGGGCTCTCACCTTCTCACTGGTAGTCTGGGGCAAGGACCTCTTCACAAGTGTCAGGTAGTAGCCAGAGCCCAAGTGACGCCGCAGGAAGAGCGGAGACCCACAGCAGCACAGGCGGCCACCCGCCACCATGGCCACACGATCTCCCAGCAGCTCCGCCTCATCCAGATGGTGAGTGGAGAGGATCAGAGTGCGACCTGGGCATGGGGATCCAACCCACATGAACCATCATCAAGCCACCAGGTCTTTACCCACGCTGTGGTCTCTGCCAGGAATTTTGTAACCCATGCAGGACAGTTCCACTTGGCCCTCAAAAATCCCATAATGGCACTTCCTTTCTGACTTTTTCTGATCACAAAAGGTCAGAAACTTTTCTTGACCCCTCACGCAGAATCTAGGAGGGCCTTAGGCCACTTCTAACTCTTACCTTCTCGGTATTTCAGCAGCAGCTCCCAAATGCTGCGGCGGGATGCAGGGTCCACGCCAGCAGTAGGTTCATCCAGGATAACGACTTGGGAGCCACCCACAAAAGCAATGGCCACTGACAGCTTCCTCTGCATTCCACCTGGGACAGGGTGGCAATCTCAGCATGACCCTCCTTCACTATCCTCGTGGACCTCAGCGTCCAGGTCTTTGCCCAGGCTTCTCACCACCCTCCCTCCCATGGAGCTGGTGTCCCAGGCTGGCTCACCAGAGAGGTGGCGGGTCTGTGTGAACCTCTTGGGGACCAGGCCCACATCCTGCAGCAGACACTCCTGCTCCGGGCCTACAGCAGCAGCACTCAGACCCTTCAACTGGCCATAGAACCACACGTGTTCCTCCACAGTCAGCCTGTGACCAGGGGTGGCAAACAGTCCACCATGGTGAGCAGGTTCCTGGTGGTTGCCCAGTCCCACCCACCACAGCCCTTCAGGCACACCACACCAGGACGCACATGTCAAACAGCACGTTGTACTGAGGACAGATGCCCAGGTGGGGACGGATGGCTGCCATGCTAGATCGCACATCATGGCCCAGGATAAAGGCCGAACCTCCAGTAGGTGGGAAAAGGCCACTCAGGATAGACCTGGGAGTGCAGGAGTGATAGGGCAGCACCTCTCCACAGAGAGAAGGGCCACCAGCACTTACAGGGCACCTACTGCATACCCAGCCCAAAGCTGTTCCATGTCCCCATTTCACAAGGGAGGGAAACTTAGGCTCAGATGTAATAACTTATCCTATGCCTGTTGGGTGCCCAAAGTGAACTGAGGTTCCCGCCTCCACTGTAATTAATGACAGGAACCCTCTGGTCCTAGACATCTTCCCCACTGAATGGATATGGAAGCTCAAGCCAGAGAAGGGAGGGAGTGGCCGGCTCACAGCGTGGTCGTCTTGCCGGCCCCGTTGTGGCCCAGGAAGGCGGTGATGTGTCCCTTGTAGAAGTCCAGGCTGAGCCCACGTAGGGCTGGCTGCGCGCAGCCAGGAAAGCGCTTCTCCAGGCCGCGAACGGAGACTCCGGGACTCAGGCCAGGCGGCGCCTCTTCCACAAGCACTGTGGAGGAATAGCAGCGTTGGCTGCGGAGCCTGACGCTGAATTGATTGGAGGGACCTGTCTGGCTGGGGAGCTCCAGGGGACTTCAGCAGGTGCAGGGCCTGTGAACTGGGGAGTCCAGGGGATTGGGATTTGCGGAACCTGTTATTTTGTGTATGTGTGGGTGGGGGGGGTAGCAACAGGAACGTTCAAATGGGGAAGTCGCTGCTAGGGCTCCTGGGGCCTCACCCTTTGGGTCCTGAGCGGCGGGGGCGGGGACGGGACCCTTAGGGAGTCCAGGCCCGCACCAGTAGCTCTTCCGAAAGGGGAAATTCCATGGCTCGGGGATCCCATACTGGCCTGCGGGAAGGTAAGCTTAGTTACGCTTGCCATCCTCACGTAGTGTACCAACCTCTGGCCATACATTGGAATCAGGTCATTCAAGTAGGAGGTGGTAGGAAAATGCTCCTAGGTATCTGCCTCAGTCCCCTCCCTCAAGGACAGACATCTATGCGCATGTTCCAGGAAGCCCCAGGCGAACACGCCTCCAGGTAGCAAAAGGCCCGGAAGCACCTCCCCACCACCCGGTCTTTTCTGCGCATGTGCGCCATATCCTGAAGCCCCGCCCCTGCTGGAACTTAACCTGGCCTAGGTGCTTCTAGGTACCAAATAGCAGGAAGGCCTCACCGCTCCACCCACCCTCCAGCGCACACTAACGTCCCCTCCCGGAACCCCTCCCCCTACAGCCCACCTGGGCACACGGCCTCCAGGTACCAGAGGAGGAGGCTGTAGAGCGCGGCGTCCAGCAGCAGGAGGCCAGAGACCTGCGCCAGGCTGAAGACGTCGGCCGCGGGCCCGATGCCTAAGTTGTGCCATTGTGCGCCCTCGCCCTGCTCTTCCAGCAGCGCTAGGCTCTCACACCCGAAGCCGAAAGCCACCGGCGACAGCAGGCTCTGAGGGTGGGAGAGGATGGGTCAGCGAGAGAGCACAGCCGAGGCCGTCCCCCACCAGACCTGCTTCGGTCCTCACCGCTGCCACGCGACCGCCCACGGGCAGTCGCTCCCGCCAAGCCACACACAGCACGTAGGGTAGGTATAGTGAGAAGTAGGCGAGGCCTCCGCAGGCCGCCGCAAGGTTGGCACGGGAAAAGAAGGCACTCAGCAGGAAGCTCTGGACCACGGTGGCTACCGCGAAAGCCGCCAGGAACAGAAAGATCACGACTGGATGGCTGTAGGGGAGGATGTCCCCCAGCTGTAAATGAAAAGGGAGCTCAGGATACGGCTCTGGGACTGAGCCTTGGGACGCGCGCACCGACACTGGGAGCGTCCTGCCTATATCCCTCACGCGCCCCCATTGTACAGCCAGGAAGGCCAAGGTACCCCAACCTTGAGCACCAGCACCAGCAGCGCGGCGCTGAGAAGGAAGGGCCCGAGGCAGCTGAGAAACCAGCCGAGCCAGAGCACTGCGCGACTGAGCCCCATAGCGCGCATCGTGTCGCGCAGCCGAGTCTCCTTTTCCCGCACTACAGCCTTCACGGTCAGTGCCACCGAGTAGATCCAAGACAGCGTCAGGAAGAGAGGCAGCGACCTGCTCAGTACACGCAGGAACCTGGGGCACAGGACACTGGGGTAGAGCTAGAGACCCTGCATAGCTATTCACCCACCCACCTGGAACGATCTTCGCCCTAGGATCTCAAGGCTCTGGCAGCCTGAGGGTTAGCACCCGCCCCTACCTCCTCAGAACTCAGTTCCAGCCTTGGAGTCCCAGCTCTCAGCATAGGCCACGGTCTCCCTGCGCCTGGAGAGCCTACACTCTCTGGGATCCTTTCTACTCCCTCTATAGATCACATGAAGTGATTCCTGTAAACCAGCTCACAGGCTTGTATGCATGAATGTTCCCCAGTGGAGCCCAGGCTCCATCCTAACCCGGGGACTAAGGGCTGAGGGAATGAGTGAGGAGGGGGCATGGAGCTCACACATCATCCACATAGCAAGGGTAGGGCATCTGCTGCAGGTAGAGGCCAGCGCTGGGGTTGGTGCCACTGAGCATGCGTACAGCCGCACTCTCCAGAAGGTCCTGCAGGTACACGAAGCCGCCCCACACGTAGCGAAGGTCCATCAGAGGATCTGCGGCAGGGCCGGGGTCCCAAAACCTTTGAGGGAAGGGATGAGGCTGTAGAGAAGGGGGCAAACTCCTAGGGCCTTGCCCATCGCAGCCTTAACTCTGCCCTTCCTTATATTACTACCCTTATACTTCTGTCGAAGCAATTACGCACCTGGCCAGTCCACTAATGCCTTCAACCTATACCATTCCCATCTTTTTTCCCAGGCCCTTGGTTACACCCCATCATGGCCTAGGCCACGCCCACCAAGGCTCCAATTGGTCTATGGAGACCTGGGCTCCGCCTGCTATTTATCAGTACTGCCCGGGTTCCGTCAATCTCCAATAGGCGAACGCCCTTAGCTCCACCCACCACATTCTTGGCCCCGCCCTCACTTGTCCCTGATCTTATTGGTCCTCGTGACGTCGTCGATGTCCATGCGGATCTTGACAAGCAAGTGGCCAGGGCGGAAGTCTGAGGCTGGCAGCTCTGCAGGGTTCGGGGAATTCTCTGGCCCCAGGAAAACGACGCCAGCCCAGAGGCGGCGCTCAGCTAGCAGCTGTAGGGCTCGCGACACCAGGGCTTCCTCTGAAGGTGCGGCCTCTAGTTTGTCCAGGGACACACACTGTGGGGGCATGAATCCCATGAGGAAGTCTGCCTGACCCTCAGACCCACCGGCGCCTCCCACTGGACCTGAAGCTGGACTGTCTTCCCCTCCTCAGGTGACCTCTACATGGTGGATCAGCTTCCCCCTCTGACCCCAAACAGCAGGCTGGCTTCTTCAGACCTCTGCAAAACCCAGGATGTGCCCCTGCTCAGGCCCTTGAAGTATTGTCTCTTCCCTCTGAATCCCCAGGACAGGACTGTCTCCACACTGTCATCATCACGTTGGTCTGTACCACTCCTCCCTGCAGAGGTCCCCAAGTGAAAAACCCCTCACCTCCATCACTTGGCCCAGTGTGCCCACCAGGCGCTCCACATCAGCATGGGCCTCCCGCCAGCTGTAGCCTCCTCTGCTGGGGTCCAGAAAGGATTTGACTGCCTCTATCTGGTCCGGGTCTCCAGATCCTGGCCTCCTGTTCCCTTTGTTCTGCATTTCCAGGAGCCTCTGGGGAGTGTCCGGTGAGGAGGGATCTCTCAGGCCCCCTGTTCATCCACCAGGGCTCATCTTCCCTTCTTGCCTTGAGTCCTACTTCTTACTTCCAGCCCTGGCTCAGAATGGACTCCCCCAACCTCCTCCCAAGTACTGAACCTCCATCCTAGTATATATACCTGCAGCATGGCCACATTCACACTGTTGTTCATGAAGGCAAAGAGCTGAGGTCCCAGCACCCCCCAGACCTCCTGGATGTCCCTCAGCAGAGCCAGCTCCTCGAAGGTCCGGTTCACCTGCAGTGGGGCAGGCCACAAGATCAATCCAGGTCCTGCCCATTCACCACCACCATCCTCTGAGGACCTCTGCACTTCCCCTGGCCTTGCCCATCTGTGCTTCTGAGCCTTTACACCCTGGTCTCCCTGACATTTGCAGGACACTTCCTTCTTTGTGCAGTTTTCATGACTCTGGGGCATGGCCTTGTCCCACCTTGATTGAGGATACTGGGTGGGCTCTGCCATTTCTCTCCTGCCCCAGTATCTGGCACCCTCACCTGGGCCATAAGCTGCCGGGTAAAATTGGTGTCAGGTGTGAACAGAAGTTTTCCGTGGATCAGTGGCTTCAGGCGCCTCCACAGCAGGTGGGACAGTGGGTGGTTGTCCAGAGACCCCATCAGCTTAGAGCAGGCAGGGCCTGGGATTGGGACATCATGAGATCCTGTTCCCTGTCCACCACCCCACTTTCCAGGTGGGGAAACCGAGGTCAGTCACTCACTCAAGCCATCAACAGGCAAGGCTGGTGCAGGCTCTGGGCCCACCAACTCCTTCAGTTGGCTGGCCTCATACCAGTTGAGGGAGAGACCGCCAGGGCTGCTAGGCCCCTTGGCACTGCAAAGGACTTCTGACAGCAGCTGCAGAGGGTCACCTGTTCCTTGGGGTCTCTGCAGCAGAGTCCGAAGCGCCACCAGACTGGGCAGTGCCAGGAACTAAAAGAGGTCAATGGAGGGTGCTGGCAACCTTCCCTCTGCAGCCTCCCACCTTTGAGACTTAACCAGGGCAGGGATCCAGCCAGAAGCATCTTCTCCCTGTCACCTTCCCACCTGGGCAGCCTGCCCTTATTGCTTCATGGGGAGGGGAATGGATGGGGTTTCTCACCTCCTTGACTAGATCTTGAGCAGCCTCCACAAAGCTGCTCATGGACTCCTGGGCTTGGCCCAGCACCCATGCCAACGATTCCTGAGGAGATGACAAGAGCAACCGTGAACTTGATGGAGGGCTCACTAGAGATCAAGTGTTCTGTCAAGTTTTCAGGTGGTCCATACCCTCATTGTTCCCACTTTACAAGCAGGAAAACTGAGGCCCCAAGAGGTGCAAGGACTCATTCACCGCCATGCCAGACACTCCCTGTCTGGGCACAGAGAGGACAAGGGATACCACTCCAGGTGCCAGAGACAGCCTAGAAGGTGGAATCAGACCCCAGCAGGAGCCAGGCTGGGGCTTCCTGTGGGTAGTGTCCTCAAGGGTCAGTCTGGCCCCACCTCACCTCTTCCAGAAGCGTTCCCAGAAACTCAGTGGTCATCGAGGGTTGCTCCTGTCGCCAGTCACTCTGTGGGGGCCAGGCTGGGGGGAGAAATGCATGGAAGCACAGAGTGAGGCAAACCTTGGCTTGAGATGCCCACCCCCACCCATATCCATTTCACAGTCAAGCAAGTTGAGGCTCAGTGCATCCCAGCCTCCTCACCTCTGCTGCGGGCGGTCCTCAACACGGGCATCAGCTTCCCCAGTGCTGCCATCGTCCTGTTAGCACTCGGGCTCCCCAGCACAGTGAGGGCATCAGCTAGGAGCCGGGAGACTCTGAAGAAAGAGAATCACAGGAGGCAGGGGCTCCAGCCGGTGCTCTCATGAGCCCCAAGCAGCTGGCCTGGCTCTTTCCACTGCCCTTGCTCACAGGGAGTCCTTGAAGTTGCTCAGTAGTCCTGGCTTCTCTCCAGGTGTCATCTGGGGGAAGCAGGAGTTGTTCACATTGCAAATGAGGCCCTGGAGCCACGGCAGTGTACCTGCTGAGGGCAGTGGCTTGTTGGGGAAGTGGCCTGTGAGAAGACACCAGTTCTGCATTGGTCCCCACCCATGTGCGAACCTCCAGCACCAGAGTGCTTCCCCCAGTGCCAGGTATTAGCCGCCACTCATGGGGTGTGGAGGGGTCCCTGTGGACAGAATGACCTATTGTCCCCTTCTGGTCCCCGGGGGACTTACATTCATGGTGCTCCAGTGGAGGGTGGGAGTGGCGAACAGCCACAAGGATGAAGAAGAGGAAGAGGGGCCACAACAATTCTACAAGGAGCTGGATCTAGAGGGCAGAGCAGGCAGGAGATCATGGTGCACCTAGGCACATCTACAGCCAACCCTTCCCTGACCTGCACATTCTAGTATTACCGGCTGTCTCCTGCGATACATGAAATTCTTCCAAAGCAGCAACATCAGCTGTGTCCAGAAGGCCATGATGACACTGAACATAGGGTAGAATGGAGGGGTCAGGACAAGATCAGGCTGAGGATGTGCTGCAAGCCACTCCCTGCCTCTCTCTGAACCTCATCCCTCTGTCCATCCTACCGCGCAGGGGTCTGGGAAGCTCCTTCAGAGATGAGAAAGAAATTCTCATCGACCATGAAGTAGACCAATAGGAGCCCTGCCCGTAGTCATCCCCGCAGCCGATTGGTTGCCAGGGCTCTCGCTTCCTGCAGTGCGGAAGGCTGGGGTTTTGAAGACCATCCTCTAATCATTAGGGGGTAGAGCCTCAACTTAATGTTTTTATCACCAGATGCTGGTCCCCGACTCTTCCCTGACCCGGGTAAGTGTTCCATTTGCCCAGCTGTACCACAGTGATAACAGGAACGAATATTTACTGTGGGGAACGTGTTATACGACTGGCTGGCAGAATTACACTGTCACTCCACCTTACAGACACGGAAAATGAGGCTCAGGGAGACGGGTGGTCTCTCTGAGGCAGCGTCCCAGTTCTGTTGGCCCCTCCTGTATTATTGATAGTTCAGAAGAACCACGAGATCCAGAAAATGAGTCAGGCACAGACTCCTGGAACCAGTGATTCCTGATCCCATCCTTTTCTTGGAACTGTCCAGCTATGGCCTAGTTCATTATACAGATAAAGAAACTGAGGCTCCTAGAGGAGTAGGAAGTTGCCAAAGGTCAACCCACCCATGTGGGTCTATGACCCTGGCTTTTCCTCCGGGATTATATTATAAGTGCGATTTAGGGGGGTTCGATTTACAGGAAGACGGCCTCATTTAAATGGGAGCGGCTTGGGGAAATTCCAGCGGGAGAGGTGCTGTAGGTGCTTCTTGGCAAAGGCCCTCTCAAGTGACCAGATGCCTACCTCCCCCTTTGAGAATTAATGGTTAATTCAGCAGCCCCCTTATACTCACGGGAAGGACAAGAAGGATGAGAGAGTGTCGAGGCTCGATCAGCAGCCCTAATTCCCAGAGAACTTGTCTCCTCTCACCCCCAACCCCCAATCTCGTGTTTTTGAGTCTCGAGCCTTCCTCCCCCTCCGTGTCCCTCTCACCGTTCCGGCTCCCCAGTTCTTGCCACCTTCTGTCCGCCCGACAGCGGTCGGGGAGGGTGGCCCCTTTAAGAGGAGCTCCGGTGGGGCGCGGCAGATGACCGCCCTTCGCAACTAGGTGCTGGTGGCCGCGCCCGAGTGCGCTCCGCCCTCGGCTTTGACTATTGGCCCTCGTAACCGCCACTCAGAACCGCCCAGAGAGGAAGCGGGATCACAGCGGGCTAGCGGTGCCGGGGTTTCTTAAAGGGTCCGCACGCTTCTTGCTGCATCACCTTGGGGTGACACTGTGCCCAGTTCTCCCCACGGGGACCGGCTTCGGGACAAGCCGGCCGGACTGTGGGGAACTTGGCTGTCTCCTCACGTTGCATAACTTCCTGCAATACTTTAAGTCCCCCCGTTGCCGGAGACCCCTCTGTCCCGTATTCCCCTGGGACCAGGGTCCTAGACAGAATCCAAAACTGGGATTCCCTTTATCTGTCTGTAAAATAGAAGCTCGATCTTAATCTTTCTCCATTCACTCGACAAACATTCCTAGGGTCCTACAGTGGTCCGGGTGATAGCAGAAGAGCGCGGGGCCCCCAACATTCTGTTAGTCATAACAGTTGCCCCGATTTTGAGGGAAAACTCCGAATGCTTCCCGCTGTGGAAAATAGACATGTTTCTCAAGATCGTGGTGAGGATGAAGGATGTGTTGAGCCACAGCTCGGAAGGGCCTGGGAAGGGTGCTAGTTGGTAAGGGGGGGGAGGGCGCTCTACGGAGAAAGGAGCTTGCCAGGGAGAGATCTCCAGACTGGGAGAAACCAGGAGCAGGAGCTTGGAGGCTGCCGGGTGGCGTAGGGCTGAGCTGGAGCTGACAGAGCAGGTGAGAAAGCTGGCTCTGCAAATCACTCTTTTTGCGGTGCTGGGGGTTGAACTCAGGGCCTACACCTTGAGCTACTCCATCCCTTTTTTTGTGATGGATAGGGGTCTCACGAACTATTTGCCTGAGCTAGCTTTGAACCACAATCCTTCCGGCCTTTGCCTCCTTAGTCGTTAGGATTACAGGCATGAGTCACCAGCGCCCAGCTCCACGAGTCATCCTCCATCCCACTCACCTGTGACTTTTGGACCCATTTCTCCCCTTCCCAACGCTACTCACAAGGCTTCCCTTTGCCCCTCCTTCAGTCCCTACAAGCCCCCCTACCACTATCATCGTCCCGGCCTCCAGCTGTCTCAGGCAGGCACCTTCTCTAAAAAGATTTTTTATTATTATTACTTTTGGTCCACACTTGGTATTTCACATTATCTCAAGGTCTAGGGGCCCCAGGTGCCAGCTCACAAGCAGTACTTGGAGGGGACAGTGTGGGTAGAGTAGTAGAGCTGGCCAGGCATAGGTTTTTAAAACTCACTGAGGGCCCAAGGGAGGGGACAGATGTGGAGAGATGTATGGCTTTTTAAAATTTCTTTCTTTCTTGGTACTGGGGTTTGAACTCAGGACTTCAAGCTTTATTAGTCAGGCATTCTACCGCTCGAGCCATTCTGCCAGACCCAGATGTCTGGCTTTGCCTCAGCCACTTAGAACTCTATTGTGTGATCTGGGCTTAAGTTTCCCCACTGGACCACTGGGAGGGGTCAGGGCTGTCATTCTGAGGGTCCTAGAGAAATCCAGTCTTCAAAATACTTTAGGGCAGTGGCATTCCCCTCTACCATTGCCACCCTATTCCCCTAAAAAGGAAAGAGAGAGAGAGAGAGAGAGAGAGAGAGAGAATTTTTTTGATTCTTGAAAACTGCTTGAAACTTCTGTGGTACAGAAACCACAAACTGATGGGAAAGAGATGAAGAAACCAGAAACCATCTGGGGCTGGTCTGCTGCCTTGGTCCTTCCCTGCCCAGAACTGGGCCCCATAGGCTGCTGGGAAATTTGCTGCCTGCCTTGTCAGACAGGGTTCCCCATCCCACCGCCCCTACCAGTGGCTCAGTCCTGCTAAGAGAGGGAGTTCAGGGTGAGAAAAAGCGGCCCCAGAAGCCTCCTGATCTTCATCCCACCTAGCCACCCCCAGACCTCCAGACCCTCTGCAGGTAGCATTGAACATGATTGTTTTAAAAAAAAAAAAAAAAAGACAAAACCCACGAATCCAAATGGGGTGCTGAGGTAGGGAGTCGGCACCCCTGGGGCTTCAGTAGCCGGCCTCCTCCTGGTAATAGGAGGGATACTCTGAGCCCTCCCCAGGGCAGTCGGTGGCACCCAGTGGAGCCCCGTCGGTTGGGCCTTGTGGGCAATACTTGGGGTCATATATCTGCCGCCCCAGGCCAAAGACCTGGCCACTCTGGTTGGCTCCCTGTGTGTAGCCCATCTGCAGGGACATGGAGGAGTTGTCACACTTGTCGGTCCCCAGCTTGGTGTCATAGATGTGCCTCCGGGTCCCTGGAGCAGTCATGCCCACCTAGAGAGGGAGGAAAGGGCGTCAGGGTGCAGGGAAATGTCCCCAACTCCTATGCTACTTAGCATTCTTGGGGCAAAGTCCCTACGAGCCATTCCAAGCCATCTTGGCTCAATCCTGATCACTCGAAACCAGAAATTGTTCCACTCTTTCCATGCCAACCAAGTAGCTCCTCTGGCTAAGGCTGAGGGGTCCTGGGGATCTGAGGGCTCCAAAACCACCACCCGGACACAATCTGGCCGGGAACTGAGAATCCCAGAATCTGAATATATCAGAATTGGGTGGACCTCTGGGTAATCGTGAAAGGGAAACTAAGACACAAGAATGGGATCCTCATTTTCCCAGGTTCACACAACAAGGTAGAAACAGAGCTGAGAGCAAAATCCAAGGCAGAGACATAAGCAGTAGGGAAATCCAAATATCTCTGGGGACAGACATGGCAAGGTGGTAGGGGTGAAAGTTGGGGCCTGGGTACCTAGATGGGGCTCACCTGGCTGGCACACTTGTTTGTTCCCATCTGGAGGCTGATGGTGGAGTGGTCCATAGGTGGCAGGATGTGGTTCTTGGGGTCATAGAGATGCCGCCTGGTCCCATAGGCCGTCATGCCAGATTGGCTGGCACATTTGTTGGTGCCCATCTGTGGGAAGGTGGGTGGGAGAGATCAGGCTGCCCCCTGCCAGGCTGTAGATGCTTCCTGGAAGGTAAGGGTCCCCCCACAGGGCTGTAGAGGACCTGTGTCACATGAGAACCCTTGAGGACAGGGGACTGGTACCCACCTGCAGCCCAATGACACACTGGCCAGCCTTCATGGTGGCGTCATCAAAGTTCCGCTGCTGTTTCTCTGAATACTTTACTCCAATGTCCACACCACTGTGCAACCCCTTTGTCTTGGCCTGAAGGGTGACAGGGGCCAGGAAGATAAGAGTGGGATGGTGGGGGGACCTTTGATCTAGACCCAGACTGTGCAACCTGGGAAGGCATGGGGCCAGGGACATGACATCCTTCATCCCAGCCTCCTCCACTTTCTAGTTGCTCTAGCAATTTTGGGGGAACACCCTCACCTTTTCTTCCAACTTCCGTCACTTCCTTCTTCCCAACCTCTCAAGCTACCCCGATCCAGGCCTGTCCAGGTCACTACTATGACTTCTCACCCAGATGTCTGTCCTGCCTCCTCTCTGGCCTTTGGGCATCCCACTCCCCACAGGACAGTCAAGGAAATTCTGGAAACAGCATGCCTGGTACAATTTCCTGACATAAACCTTTCCTCCTCTTCATCCTCCAACACTCCAAGCCAGGACCTTCTGTTCCCTCCACCGCAAACACTGTTCCAGCCATTCTCCCAATCTAAGTTTGAGGGTCACCAGAGCCTAGGCACCAATCTAATTCTCCTTTCTCCTTCAAGGGACATTTCACAATATATAGAATATTTATAAAGCATAAAAAATGATTTGCTCATCTTTGTTTCCTGCCTGTGAGTCTTAACAGGGTTCCCCGTGTCTGTCTTGGTCCACAGCACCTAACACCATGTGGGTGTCAGAAGTATTTGCACACAAAGAAATGAAGAACTTAGCCAGGCTCATGCCTATAATCCTAGCTACTCAGGAGGCAGAGATCAGGAGGATTGTGGTTCAAAGCCAGCCCAGGCAAATGGTTCCATGAGACCCTATCTCAAAAAAAACCATCACACACACACACACACACACACACACACACAAAAAGGCTCAAGGTAGAAGCCCAGAGTTCAAGCCCCAGCACTGCAAAAAAATAAAAAAGAAATGAAGAACCTGTCCACATCAACACCCGCCTTGCTGGGTGATTCTGGCACTGGGCCTCACCTTGCCTGCCAGCGCAAGAAGAGACACCTGCACCTGCGTCATGTTCCCACTCTCGAACAGGTCGTTGGCCTCAAACAGGTCCACAGGGTTCATGCCATAGCTGACCATGGCTTTGATGAAGTTGGAGAGGTTTTCTAGCTGGGTGGAGGCAGGGGAAGGGCAGTAAGTGGATGTCAGTCTATCCATTTGTTAACCAGGACCCCAGTCCCATCCTCCACCCACCACCACTCACCTGGTGCCAGTTCTGCATGGAGCGGTTGATCTTGGGGACAGAGCCTGGCTGCAGCTTGTTCATGAGTCTGTGAGGACATAAGGGGTGGAGACAAAACATGAATGTCCATTAACATCAGGGAAGCCTCAGAGACCAGTCTTGCCTTCAGTCAAGCTCATGCCTTCCTGGGCAACCTCGCTGCCTTTCCCCAGCCTCAGTTTCCTTTCTTGTGAAGTAGTCTTCATCCATCAAGAAAGCCAAGCTTTCAAACTACTGGTGCTAGAATATGATGTGAAACCAATGATTTTGAGGAGTTTTTAATGTGCATTTTCTAAATGGAATGTCTGGGAGGCAGAGATCAGGAAAATTGCAGTTCGAAGCCAGTCTGGGCAAATAGTTTGTGAGATCCTATCTTGAAAAAAAACCTTCACAAAAAAAGGACTGGTAGAGTGACTCAAGGTGTAGGCCCTGAGTTCAAACCCCAATATCACCAAAAAAAAAAAAAAAAAGGAACGTCTGTGTGATAGTGTAATAGCACGCAAAAAGGAAAGCCCTCCAGCAGCTTTACCAGCTCTTCTGTGATGCTTACTGCCAGGGTTCTAGACAAAGCCATAAGACAAGAGAAAAGAACAAGTAAGGTGCAACAGTTAGTGAGAAGTAAGCAAGCTTCCAACAGCACGTGTAGTGTGCCATCCTCTGGGCAGAGCACTTGTTGTAGTGATGCATGTGTGTGCACGCACACTCACGTGCATAAGATAACCCCATCCTTCAGACCCTTCTGGAAGTCGGGGCCAATGGACAGGCCTGTGAGTCCCTCGATCCAGCTGCGGAGCTCAGCCTCCTTGTGGGGATCATACTTGGACAGGAGCTGAAAAACAGAGGGCACAGGAATGAGCTGGACCAAGGGCACACCTGCAGAAACCTCCTGATGGAGTGAGGCCAGAGAGACTACAAAGAAAAAGAGACATGGAGTCCTCACCTCACCCAACTTCCCACCTCACCCAAGCCTGACACATTCAGAACTCTCACTGAAGACAACCAGATCCAATTCACCGAACCTGGCAGCAGGATCTGAGCCCCTGGCCTGCCCAGCTGCTTGTGATGTTACAAGTGACATTCACCACACTAAGCACTGCAAAGTGCACAATTCACAATGCTGTGCAACCACCATCTGTGTCTAGTTCAACGTGCCACCACCCTAAAGGAAACCCTGTCCATCAGACCATCACCCGGCACCTACAAGTCCACTTCCTGTCTCTGGATTTGCCTATTCAGGACATTTTCTAGCAGTGCAGTCACACATGGTGGGGCTTTCTGCTTCTCTCACTGAGTGCAACGTCCTCTAGGTTCCTCCACCATATTGTAATGTGTCAGAACTTTGATCCTGTTCATGGCTGAGTGATGCTCCCATGTGTGGATGGCCACCCTGTGAGTGCCCATTCGTCCATCCGTGGACACTTTTGACTGTTGTGAATAGAGCTGAAGTAGATGCTGTGTACAGGTTTTGTTTGGCTGTTTTCATCCTCCTGGGTGTATACCACGGAGTGGAACTGCAGGTCACATGGCGATTCTATGTTCAGCTTATTGAGGAACTGCCAAACTTCTGTTCCTGGAACTAGCCACACTGGTTCCTGCCTCAGCGCCTTTGCACAGACTATCCCTGCTGACTAAGATATTGCCATGGCTTGGTCCCTCCCTTCAATCCAGGTGTAGATGGTCCTTCCCTTCCCTGACCACACTGGCTATGATAGCCCCCTGCATGCCTGCCTCCCAGCCTGCTTTATATTTCTTCTAGAGTTTACCTCTGTCATTACATGATGGCTCCTCCATAAGCCTCACCATCAGCTTGCAGCTGGCTCAACAGGGCTCCAGGTCCCTCCCAAATGCACACCCACTTTGCACACCCACCTGCCCCACGGCAGCCTCAGACCCAGAGAAAGCTGGTTGGGGCAGGCCAGTCCCCAGGAGTCGGAGGGACCTGGGCAGGTGTAGAGGTGGGCACCATCATTCTAGGGTGGCTCTCAGGGAGGCAAAAAGAAACCAGTCCCTGGCCCTCAGCCAGGCTGTAACATCCAGCTTGGGGCTGGAGAACCGGCCCCTTTCTTCTCTTCTCCTCTCCTCTCCCCAGAGGACCACAAAAGCAAAGAACTGCTCTTTGCAGGCCAGTTCCTTTGCCCAGCTCCCCAGATGACTGTGAGCCTTCTGAGCCTCAGTTTCCCCATCTCCATTTAGAATGATTTGCATAAAGCTTTCTTGACATGAGCCCATTCTGATTCCTGCCTATAAACCCTAAATCCATGGGATTAGGGCCAGGCAGGGAGACAAAGGCAGTAGGAGGCCGCTGCTAACCCGATCCCAGGTTCCCACACCAGCAATGCCCATACAGCTTTGTCCAGCAGGAATGAGAAAGGGTGGGGCAGGGGTCACACCCAGGGGCCTTGGGAGAGGAGTGTGAAGCAGTCAGGCTGGTAGGGATGTCACACATTCCTGGCCCAGCTGCGCCACATCCCTCCAGGGGGCCAAGGACCAGGGCAAAGGCGCCTGGCCTGGCCCCGCCTACTGTGGCCACCTCCCTCCAGCTGCCCATGGCCTTCAGCGCATTCCTGGCAGTTTGTGGGGAGAAGGAATGCGCTGGGTTGCCTCCCTGGGTAAATCGGGACCAGCTGTTCCAAGGGGCCTAGACCCTCAGCCAGGATTGCACTGTATGGCTGCTCTGAGAGAGCTGGACATGAGCCAGTTAGGGAGTAAACTGAGGCACGGGTCAGGCCGAGAGAGAGGTCTCAGGGACTTTCCTCTAGAGTGTGACACAAGCAAGATGTTGGTGCCATGCCCATTATCCAGCCTGGTAAACCGAGGGCTGATATCACCCATCAGAGCAGGGACTGCCCTGTTCCCTTGCCCCATCTCTGCAAGGGTGCCCCACCCTCAAATGTGCTCCCTCACTTCTGCCCACAGGGAGATGTCCAGACTCCCCACAGAAACCAAGGGCCATAAGGTGCTCCATCCGGATGGAGCTTCAGTTCTAGCTGGGCCACTAGCAAGCTGTATGGCTCTGGGCAATCTCTGAGCCACAGTGCAAAAGGAGACCTCAACCTACCTCTAGCAGGTTCAGATGTCCCCCAAAGTGGGGAACAGGGCACTGAATGGGGCACCCAGGGCCCAGGATTTGCTGGTAGACCTTAGCCTCCCTTTTTTGTGAAGGCTTGTCCAAGGCTCTGAGAGGCTTCTACATCATAGATGTGATGTAGAAATCCTCCATCCTGTTGCCGTGGGAACCTGACAACTGCAATCTTGGTGTCCTCTGCATGCCCAGGCACATTGCCCTGCTGTAGCATGTGTGCCCACATTCCCAGGTGGTTGGAAGGTGTATGCATGGATCCAACTGAAAGGGCCCCAGACTGTCAGGCCTTGCCCTTTCCTCCCCTCCAGTCTGGGATCAGAACCCTCTTCCCTGTGTGTGACCCTGCAGAAGTGTCAGCCCCGCTCTGAGCCAGACAAGAAGTGTCTCCCTCTGGCCCCAGCCTGTGTTTCCCATGACAAACCCCACACATTTTTGGATCACGCTGTGAGGTCCTCTTTGCCATCCCTTTAAATTAGTGCAGGAAGACTTTGGGCAGGAGGTGTGGCTCAAGTGGTAGAGCGCCTTTGCCAGAGCAAAGCCCTGAGTTCAAACCCCAGAACTACAAAACCCAAAAAACCCGAATGAGATCTGACTGCCTGGGTGGGCCCTGTCTCTAATTTCCTCCTCGGCGCCCCCTCCCAGGTGTGAGAGGTCAGGAAATTCCTGGGGGGCCCACGCCTTGCACAGAAAGCCGCAGCCCCGCCCCCTTCCCCTCCTGAACTTGTGGCCCCAAAAGCGGAAGTGTGGCCAGGTGACGGGGAGGGGACCCACCGGGCATTCTCGGGCCTTGAAGTCCTGGAGGGACGCAGAGTCAGGAGTGGGCCGGGGGGCTTCGATCTGGGGGGGCAGGGCTGGGGACGGTCAGATCTGGCTGCTCCTGGATGCTGGGGAGATGGGGGGTCCCTCTCCCCGGACCTCACGGCTCCCCTGATTTGCCAGAGCTCCGCGGAGCCCCTAAATCATGCAAGTGTCAGGGAAAAGCAGGGCTACCCTCGCCCCAGCCGGCGGGCGACCCTCCCGACGTCGCCGGGCTGCTGCACGGGTCCGAGCACGCGGACGGCGGCCCGCGGGGCCCCGGCGCCCACTCACCCGGTTCTTGACCTCGGCCGAGAGCCCGTACGACGGCCCCTTGTTGAACTGCGTGGAGCTCATGGCTGGCGGGAAGGCGGCGCGGGACCGGACCGAGCCCGAGGAACCGCGGGCGGGACGGGCGGGCGGACGGGGACGCGGGGCTGGGCGCCGCCCCCCGCCGCTGATTGGCGCGGAGCGCAAATGTCCTTATAAGGCCTGGAAGCGCCGAATTCCTGCGGCCGCAGACTTCCTGAGCCCCCACGGCCGCCGCGACCCCCGCCCGCGGAGCAACCCCAGCACCGCCCATCGCCCCCTTTGCAGCTACGGGAAACTGAGGCAATGAGGGCCGGGGGCTCAATACTGCCAAGTGTGGCACTCCTGCCCTTCGTCTGCCTGCTGGGAGCTCCGAAGGGCTATGACACCCTTTCCGAGTCTCAGCTTATTTTTCTGCACCATAGTGAGAGAGGGGGAAACTGTTAGTTGAGACCCTGAACTCCTATGGGACTCGAATGAGAGCCCCTCTCTGCTACTTAGAGGCATCTCCCCTCTGCAGTTTGTCCCCTCCCAGGAACTGTCATAGCTGGGGGATGGACAAGGGGACTAGGGCAGGTTCTTCAGAGGAGGGGTTCATGGGAGCTGGGGCTTTGATGGATGAGTAGGAGTTTGCCGGTGTAAACGTTTCAAAGCCCGGAAGGGTGACCATAAGACTGTAGAGAGATCAGTTGGGGAGGGAGGCTTGGGATTGAGGGCTGGTAGTAAATGGGAGAGGGTGCAACAGCAGAGTGGTAAGGACTGGAGATGTCCTGGGGGCAGGGGTAAGGCTGCTGATCTGACAGGAGGCCAGGCACACAGTAGTGCTGAATATGTACTTGATCTCAACCTGCACTTACAGATGATAAATAAATGAGTAACAACATACATGCATTCACTTGTCCAGTAATCTTCTTGTTGATTTATTAATTCACTAACTCACATATTCACCAAAAGTCTCCCTTGGGACAATCTGCTCCTAAAGACCTTGGCTGGGCTCCTGCCCATGTGTGGGAAGACAGAACCAGGTACAGACCCTGTCCTGGGGTCTGCTGGGGGTTCTGCTGGAGGGGTCAGAGGGGACATGGGACATGGAGTTTTGAAGCACGAGTAGGAGTTGGATGCCTCTGTTAAGTGGCTTGCTAGGCTCTTGAAGTCCTCTGAGATGACTCACCTTGCCCCTCCCAGATGCTGCACTCTCTGGATGTCTGTTTCCTGTCTTTCCATCTGTCATTCTCCCACTACATCTATCCAAGTCTCAGTCCTAACCAGATGGTTTTAGGCAAATCCTATCCTATGTAGGTCTGTCTCATCATCTGTGGAATGGGACCAGTTGGAGGGATCAGCGAGCAGGCAGCAAGCTCTGAGCTGGGGAGGGTAGAGCATAGACTCATGGGGGTATCCTCTGCAGGTCCTACCTCTTCTGGGTAGCTACGGCATCGAGGGTGCTGGGGGGACAGGGACTGCAGGAAAGCAGCTTGGCTGGCCCAGAGCCCCTTTCCAGCTTCTGTGCAGTAGCTGTAGGCACAATGGGTATGGGGGGTGTGGAGTGTACTTGTTAGGGGATCCCAGCACCTTCTAGGAATATCATCCTGGCCTGGGGGCCTCTGAAACAGAGAGGTTGCATGTGATACCCAGTGGTACTCCTAACCCTGTGTCCCCTCAGGCAGGGGTCCCCGCAGGGCAATGTCAACCAGGTACTTGGGTGCTGGATCCTATCTCAGTATCTCCCCATGCTTGTCCAGCAGAGACAACCTGGAGCAAGTCAGCTATAGACTCTGTGGTGGTAGGTGCTGGGCTGGATGGGGGTCCTGGAGGGGCCCGGGCTGCCTTCCCCAACTCTTAGGTGTGTACCACCAGGCCTGGCTTTCCAGGCTTAGTTAATTTTATTTTCAAAATGATATCACATTCAATTTTGTTTTATTTTTGGCAATACTGGGGTTTGAACTCAGTATTTCTCACTTCCTAGGCAGGTGCTCTACCACTGAGTCACTCTGTCAGCTCTGTTCTGTGTTAGGTATATTTGAGACAGGCTCTTGAGAACTATTTGCCTGGGCTGGCTTTGAACTGTGATCCTCCTGATCTCTGCCTCCTGAGTAGCTGGGATTACAGGTGTGAGCCACCAATGCCTACCCACATTCAGTTTTTGGAAAACCTTCAAGTATATCTGAAACATTCTAGGTGTATTTACTTATTCACTTACTTGGCGGCAGTACAGGAGTTTGAGCTCAGGTGATTTGCCACTTGAGTCCCAGCTCCTGCCCACTTTTGCTCTGGCTATTTTTTGGATAAGGTCTCCAGCTTTTGCCCAGGGCTGGCCTGGACTGAGATTCAGGCCTCTCAAGTAGTTGTGGTAACAGGTGTATACAACCACACCCGGCTTGTTGGTTGAGATGGCAATCTTGATAACTTTTTTGGCCTGACTGGCCTGGAACTCTGATCCTCCCAATATCATGAGTAGCTGGGATTTAATTTTCCTTTTCAATGTAAGTTTTAGGAAATCTAAAAACAAGTGAGCACTCCAAGAGGGAAACACATGCTGGATGCCGAAGACTGCGCTCCAAAAACCATGTGAGATTTCACAGTAATTATCTTGTGCAACTGATACATATAAAATAAAAAGAAACAGCGCATAAAAATTCTTCATATTGATTACATGTTGGAATGGCAATATGATATATGATATAGTGAGTTACATGTTTTGATGCTATATATGTTTTGCTGCCCTAAAATAAATTTTACCTGTTCTCTTAGCATGGCAACAGGAAAACTTGAACTGACAATCATAGTCTGCCTTATTTTGCTGTTGGACAACTCTGTGCTTGACTGGGAGTTATGTCCAGCCACTGCCTGTGTTTGTCCAGCCTGTGAGCTAAGAATAGGTTTCTTTTTTCTTTTTCCAGTACTGGGGCTTGAACTCAGGGCCTTCACCTTGAGCCACTCAACCAGCCCAGTTTTGTGATGTGTTGTTTTTGAGATAGGGTCTCTTGAACTATTTGCCCTGGCTGGCTTCCAACCATGATCCTCCTGATTGCTGATCCCTCAGTGGCTAGGATTACAGGCTTGAGTCACCAGTACCTGGCTGCTTTTGCATTTTTTAAGTAAAAAAAATTAAAATATTTTGAAAAATATCAAAAGATGAAAAATATTCCATGACATGTGGAATTTATGTAACATTCAAATTTCAGTATCTATGGACAGTTTCATTAGTACACAATTGTGCACAATTTTTTTTATATCATTTACAGCTTTTTCCCCCTACAACAGCAGAACTGAGCAGTTACTCTACTCAATAAAGCTGAAAATACTGCCTGTTTGGTTTTTTACAGTCAAAGTTTGCCAACCCCTGGGCTCGACTCTCGGCATCCCAGGAATCTGGACTCAGACATCCCAGATTTTAGAACCTTGAGGACTTGGATGTATGGAATTATGCAAATCTGTATAGTTTTACAACCACACTGCTCCCCACCCCTGCCTTAGAGCAAATGTTCAAATCCTGGTTCTCTACTTGACTGTGTGACTTAATGAACCTACTCCATCTGTCTGTGCTTTGGTTTCCTTGTCTGTAAAACAGATGGGTAAATATTTGCAAAGTGCCTAGAGGGCGCCTGGCACAGATATGAGGGCTTGTTGAGTCCATGAGATGTCAAAAATCTTAGGAATTTAGGCTTCAGCTCCAAAAAGCGGGCAAGGCCCTGAGGACTTCTGGCGTTCTCTGTAAATGGAGGGCCCTGGGCAAGTGGCAGCCCTTTCATGGATGCCTCTTTCTGGGACAACCTGTCCCTGCAGTGCCCAGGCTCTGGGTGCAGTAGCAGCCAGGCTAGACCTGCTGCACAGCTGGGATGCTCTCTGATTGAATACCCCAAGCCCCAGTCCATGCTGATGTCACCTGTGGACACTGAGGAGCAACAGGCAGGATTCATCCACAACAAAAATGGTAATAATAATAAAAAGCAAATAATAATAACACAACCTCCACCACAGGAAGATTTTAACTGCAGAGTCAGCTCAGGAAACTCCTTCACTCCCAATCTGCCCATGGCTCCCCATAGCCCCTTCAACAAAGATGTCCTCCAGACCCTGCATGAACTGCTCCCACACATGCTCTGACCTTCTGTCTCCTGGTCTTCCTCTGCTCCAAACACATGTGGACTTTTTCTCCTGGCTGCTCCTCAAGTCCTCAGACCCAGTCCTGCCTCAGGGCTTTTGCTTTGGCTGTATCTTCTGCCTGGAATTCTCTTCCCACCTGTCCCCCTCTGGCTCCTGCTCCAGGATCACCTCAGTGTGCCTCCCCAGTCATCACAGGTTTCAATCTCAACCTGTGCCACCAGGGCTTCCCATTGGACACCTCTGCACACCCCAAACAAACACAGATCATGGCACATCATTGTATGGGGTCACTTGTGAATTTCCAGTGCACAGGGCAGGCATTGTGTTTCTGCAGCCATTGACACAGAGGCTGTTCAAACAGAAATTAAATTAATAATAAAAAAGAATTAAGTTTAAGACTCCATCCCTCAGTCATACTGGTATATTCTGCTTGTTCGGGAGCCTGATCTGGCCTCTGCGCCACTAGTAGGGATGTGGTTGCCTGTCGGGTCTTGGGAAAGACATTTTTCTCCCTTTGCAACCAATAGTGATGGTGGGGAGTGATATATAGTAATTTCAAGATTATGCATTTATTGAGCACCTACTGCATACCTGCCTTCTACGCAACAGGAAGAGAATAACTCCTGAGGACAATGCAACCTTAGCAGTTAGGTCTGGGAGGTTTTCTCAGCCTCCAAGGGTCACCTCCTTCCCTGATCACCCAATCCAATTCAGAAGATTCCCTTGTCCCCCAGAGACTCCCTTCACTCCCAGAAGTCCTGTCTGCACTTCCATACGTGGTGCTCACCACCAGGAGTCAGACCTTGGCTTGGGACCTGTCTCCCTGCAGGTCCCAGCAGTCTGTGAGGGCCAGACTGGCCTGCAGTGGTCACAGCTGTGTCCCTGATGCTCACACAGACCCTGGGCACAATGAACTTATTTCCTCTAATCCTTTAAGAGTTTCCATTTGCCACTGGCCTGAGTGTCCAGTTGTCCTTCCTTATGAGAGTTCCTCAAAATGTCCACTCCCTCC